TGTCTGGCATCTTTCGGCTTTGTCAGCGGAGATGGCTGGCTATAAATTCGGCATCGTCGGCTTTCATTAGCGGTGGTGACCGGTTTAGTTCTAGCGGATCTTTCCGCTAGTCCCTGTTGCGATGGTCAATGATGTGCACAAGCCCAAGTGATGCTTCTTCGACTCTCGAAATCAGTTTTGACTCCCAAGTTCTCATATGTCTTCAACTACGTCAGATGTAGCTTCTCCTCCCTAGGCCTTGAACCGATTGATCCTAATTTCTCATCGTTGAGATGGGTGATGATGCGGTTAGGCAGCTCCTTCAGCTTCCTCCAACTAGAAAGTCACGATCAGATCCGGATCAAGATCTGAAAAGGTCTACTTCTGCTTAATCGGACCTCCGTCGAGTGAATCTCGAGTTTACCGATGTCAGCATATATTTGATGGTTCCAAAGCTTCATCATCGAAGCCCATCAAGCTGGAGTTTGAAAGTAGATGGTTTAATTTCTCAAGTCTTTTAATCACCAAGCGAGGACGAGTAGTTCCGAATTTTCCCGATGGTTGTGGTGTTACTATCATCATCAACGAAATTCAGTTCTCAGAGAAGAAGTAATTGTGTTGTGAGATGCTTTCCAATGGATCAAAGTAATTTGGGGTTCATTTTTTAAGTTTCGTTTGTTGAGCTTGTTTCGATTGTGGTTTGGTACCTTATATTGGCTTCTTACTTTTATCATTTTCGTTTGTACTTTGGCTCCGGGGAATTGTCTTCCGCCGGCTAAAACTCTGGGGACTTAAATGTGTTCTCCGGCTATGTATTTCCGTTTCCTTCGTTTGAAGGTTTTAATAAACAATAGTGACAAAAAAAAAAAAAAGAATTGAGTTTGGTCCACTGAGAGAAGAAGGGAGGTGGATCGAGTTGGACATTCACATTCGTGGTCAGCCACCCACAACACTGTTTGAGTCCAGACGACAACTAGACTTGTAATAAGATTTGTTCTTGTATAAATTATAACATTACATATTTTTTTGTCTCTCTATCCTTTTTTTGACTTGCTCTTTTTCACACTTTTATTTCCTTTTAAGAGCATATTATGGCCTAATTTGTCTCTATTTCCATTACTCTTTATTTAAGGGATTAGTTTGGTCGATGTGGAAATATATTATTAACATTATTTGTGAACGTTTCTGTTTTGAAAGTCCCATATAGAAAAATAAGGATATGTATAACTTGTGGAGAATGTTTTATAATAACTTTACAATGATTTTGACTCTATATTTCAACTGATGTTTGTGTGACATAAAATTTTAATTTATAGTTTTTTGGGATGATGATGTATGGTTTTCTAGAATTACGTATCTTAGGGGGAAATCAAATTCAACCCCGCAAGATGGTGTGTTATAACGTTTAATACTAAGCTTATTTCATGTCATTATCATCCTCTAATACTCTTTTAAAAAATGTTATATGTGTACTGGGTTTATCACGGGCTGAAACAGTATGCCTTGATTTGGGCTTTAGATGGGCCGGTTTAAACCGGGCCCGTCACAACACTCTTGTTTACACTTCACCGTACAGTTCGATCCTTGCAAGTCATCGTCTTCATTTGGCATCTCACTGAGCAGACGAAAGAGAAGAAGAAGAAAGGAGCCATGACAATGCTTAGATCTATCTCGATGGTAATGTTGTTCGTCACACTTGTTACATCCATCTCCATGGTTTCTTCTTCTGATTCATCCCCAGAAGCTGAGTTTGTTAAGAAGACTATCTCTTCCCACAAGATCGTCATCTTCTCCAAATCCTACTGCCCGTATGTCTCTCTATCTCTGGCCATTTCTAATCAGTAATCACTCCGATTTGCATAAAAATTGGATCTTGAGTCCCATCAATTTGCGTTTTTGGTTTCTTAGATATCTTTTAATTGAAACTTGAGTGAAGTCTCGTTGTAGTATACTGTCTTGACAGAGTAATCTCCACATTACGTATACTGAATCCAGTGATCATGTCTTCGTGGCTTTATATTTCCTGTATTATATTCGGTGAATTGGGATCTCTGTGACAGAACTCTGTTATCTCTGTTTACAAATGGTTGTTGAGCTACATTTATTTTGTGGAGAACATTTTGGAATAAAGTCAGATTTTTTTCCAAGATATTCAGGTTCTGTAGTGTGATGTGTTTTACTTCTCGTTGCTTTTCCTATGTTCCTTTTTGAGTTTATACAGAGTGATCTCATGTATATGACCATCTATAATTTTCTTCTGCTTCCATGTGGTTTGGTCAATAGCTATTGCAGGAAAGCCAAATCTGTGTTCAGAGAGCTGGATCAAGTTCCTTATGTTGTGGAGCTTGATGAAAGAGGTGCGTTCTAAGACTTACTGAATCATATTTTTCATCATCCAGCTATGTTTTGTTATCTCTTTTTGCCATGAGATCTTAGAGTCTTAGACATTTCTTTTATTTGAAACTTTTGACGGGTCACCATTAAGAGATTCATTTGTGACTAACAAATTGAGTAATCTATTCGGGTCTTGCAGAAGATGGGTATAGTATCCAAGCTGCAGTTGGAGAGATTTTTGGAAGGCGAACAGTACCGCAGGTCTTCATAAACGGAAAACACATTGGAGGATCAGACGGTATACTTGCCTTTCCTCTCTTTCAAGAAAACGTCTTTCCTTATGACATCATTTTCTGATTGTCAAATTTATCTGTTTTCTTGTTTTCAGATACTGTAGATGCATATGAGAGCGGGGAACTAGCCAAGCTTCTCGGTGTTTCCGGAAACAAAAATGCTGAACTCTAGGTTTAATATAGTTGGAAGAACTGATAAACGTTATAAAACTCTTTTATGTTGAGGTGGGAACAATTTAATTTCTAGTTGTATGAAATTTGTAATGGGTTCTGCAGATCTTGGCCTTGTAGAACATATCTTATCAAATACTGAAAACTGAAAGACTACAAGTTGAGTTATACAGAGTTGGGGATGAGAAATCAAATCTGGACATGCTTCAAAGTAACTATGTGGGAACTCAGGAACAACAAACAGACTTAAGTGCATTGTACAATTTGGGGGATAGGTAGATACATAGCTAAGACTAGTGGGATAAACGTTTAGGGTCGTGCTCTTTTGTTGCTGCAAGAAGGGCATTTGTAATGCTTGATATGCTCAGCTCTAGCAGGAGTGATCTTCACACATTTCCCATGGAACCACTTCTCGCACATGTCACAGCAAATCCAGAATTCATCAGAAGCATAGTTATCTCCACAAGCTCCACACAGGGTTTCACCATGTTCATCTTCATCCTCTTCCTCTTCCTCTTCCTCTTCCTCTTCCACTTCCACTTCCTCTGATCCTTGTTCCTCTTCCTTGGCCTGTATCGTCTTTGAACTTTTGCCATCTAAACCTCTCTGCATTCAAGATGAAAGAATATATTAACTACACTAATATAGCAAAGTGTAAATTTCAAAGACTAATCAATAAATGTCGCTGAATTAATAAACTTGGAGACAACTCTGTCGTTTCAGTACTTACTGATGTAGTAATTTCAGAATAGTTTCTTTGAATCCATGCTAATAACAAACAAACAATTACAGTTGAAGACACTAGCCTTCTTTGTTCTACCTCAAACCCAGAGGTTTCATAAGCCACAAGGTGCACAAACCATAATAACAGAAGTAAGAATATTGTGTTCGGTCAATGTTTTAGAACCTCAATAGCAAACTGTGTAAGATCTTACAATCTGTAATGCATATGACGAAAAAGTTTTTTCTGGACCAAAATTGTGCATCATACTTCGGTTATGTGTTTACAATACTCGAGGTTAGCAGAAAAGGAGTAGGAGCAAAGCTACAACAGAGACCTTAAAACAAAACAAAATTCAGTCTCTGATACTTTAAGCCTACGCAAATATGCTTTTGGGTTATCTGACACATAAGTATATGTAGTAGAAGAGGCTAAAAAAACTTTTAATCGTGTCTCTTATGGAGTTATAATAAGTAAAGGTGTTCCAATCGTGTTCTGTAAGGAATTAATCAAAGTATGTAGTAGCATTCACGAAAGAGACTTCCAAGATTATGTAATGACCGGAAATAAAAATGTCATATATTGGTTGAACCCGTTACAATGTTAAAAACATATGCCAGTCCTGTGGGTTTTCGAGTATCCATTTAAATCATTCCTAAATTCTGAAAAACTGCAAAAAACAAAACAAAAATAAAAATAAAAAAAGGATAAGAGTAGACGAACAAAGAAGCTTGAGTATCGAAAACAAGCAATTCAGAGAAAGTCTAAGGCTGGAACAAAGCTCTTTCCGCAAGACTTTCAGGATATAGACTATCACTATCGAGACATTTTTGCATAGGTTTCTATTTGAGTTGCCAGCTAAACTACCGAACAGCTTAGAACGTGTACTATGGTAGGAGTTAAAATAAGAACCGAAAGTGGTAGGACCAAGAGATGGAGTTGGAAAATGGTTTGGGAGAGTAGCATAAGCTCTAGAATTCATGACAGGGTTATTTAGTTTGGTTTGTTCTGTTGAGTAAAGGAATTAATGTTCTCAATCTATTAAAGGACATCATGAGTCTTACCAGTTTTGAATTTGACTTGAATCTGTTGTCATTTTGATTTGCTGAAGAGGGTTTTTCCTTTGTTTGTCTTTTCGCATTTCCAGTGACAACTTCAAATACAGTAGGAACCTCATTTATCATATTGAACAAGCGCTTCCTGAATATTAGCAATTTTAAAGGATTAGTATGGAAATGCTGGAATATCATGATAATTAATTGTGGAGAAATGAGCATAGAAGATCTCATAAACTGAACGCCAGATGATACCTGTCAGCTTTATCAAAACCAAATCTTGAACCGAAGTAAAAGGACACAGATAGTAACCACGCATCACTGTGGACAGCAACGAGAGAAAGCCAGTCTTTTTCCTGCATTCCATCTCTGGCAAAGTTGATGCCGAGTGCAGGTTCGGGGAGCTCTGGTGGAACCTCTTCAGCTGGTAAGTTAACTTCCCAAACTTCATTCGGGAATCCATACAAGCAAAGATTCTCCTTCTCTGAAATGTCATTACATAGTCATCCAATACAACAAGATTTAAAGCTGCAAGGAATTTCATAATGTGCACACATGCAATTGAGACAAGCAAACTATGTGTAGTTGTGACAAAGAACCCACAATGCACGAAGTCAATATGCAGAGAAAGATGACAGCACCAAAGGAGAAAACTATTCATTCATGGGGAGACCAAATCACGAAACTAGAAAGAAACATTGCCCAAATGTTCAATATCATCAGCCACCAGTACGGAATAAAGTAAGCAGGAGAGACAGATGATGTAATTTTCAGTGTCCCTATTGATTTGGATAAGCTTTACCGTGTCAAATCCAAAACCAGCCAAGAAAAACTACAGACAACAAATCTACGGCAGAAAGTAGAAGCAAAACTGTACTTAAACCGCATCTCCATAATGAATAACTAGAAAAGAAACCCCTATAAAACGAGAGACCATAAGCATTAATAGTGGGAACCTAGAAGTCAAAATCGTGAATAAATGAAGCAGCTTGAGAAAAGTCAAGTAGTATAATAAAAGCTAGAGAGAGAGACAGAGACAGCAACCCCTAACCAGGATCACATTGCTGGAAAAAATCTTCGACATCTGCAAAAACAAACCAATTGAATCAATCAGAAAAATTGTTCCCAAATCAGAGAAATAAGTATCACCAACACAACACTAGATCACAATTGTTCAATGAAGTAGTCTGAATCAAGGCACCAAACGATCATCAAGAGAAGAATTCCAATGAAAAATCCAAAACCCATGAAAAAAATTCAAACTTTAAAAGAAAAAACGAAGAAGAAGAAGATTACCAGTGGTGAGAGCTTGGATGATGCCAGCTCGACGACCCTTGAAATCTCGGAAGACTTCTTCGACAGTTCGAGGGTTGTAGTGCGCAGCTCCTCCTCCTCCTCCGTCCATGTCCGTCTCACACACTCTCTCAGAATCAGAAACGATGAGAGAGCGGCATTGATAGTGAGGTTTGTGTCTTTTCGAAAAGCATAAATTTTTGTTTGAAGTGATAAAGTAAGAAAAAGTTGAATGAAGACGGAAGAAAGTGCTCCGTGGACCGTGACAGACCCGATAGTCACACACCTTCTTTTTTTTAATCACTTATTAGTAAGTTAATATAGAAACTGTTGGCATAATAATTGCTCCCATACTAATTATTTCCATTTAGCTTTAACCATGATAAACGTAATCACATCTGACCGGCGAACAAGACATCAATGTCACACTTAACACCAACTCCAAAGAAGACACATGAACACTGACGTTCTGCAACGAACTATCATTAGCCAGTACGAAAAGCTTTTCATAAGCTTATATGATGAGCTTTTTTGCATATGTAAGGATTATGATGAAACCTTTACTCTAATAGTTAAAATGATGAGTGTTTGGTTGGTTATGAGGGTTGTTACAAGCAAGAAATGGAATCTCATAACATAGCGCTTATTATTCGTATTATCAGATTTTAAACAAGAGACACTCTACAGTCTTCACCAAACTACTAGATATAGGTTCGAAAAATTGAAAAATTATTCTGATGATCTATGGAATATATATGAGAGATAATACAGTATATGTAATATGATAAACAAACAAATTCAAGATTTGATAATAACTATGTCTTTGAGCTTTCTCAATCATCTACACAGGCAATGATCATTCAGAGGAAAATGGTTACACGATCGGAGAGAAACACCATCAGAGTTGGAAAAAATAACCAAGACAACAAAAAAAAAAGAAGGAAAACTGAGACGACGCAAATGCACCTGATTAACTTACATTTGTCATCTCCACTAGCTGTTCTGCTTACAAAGTATCTCTCCAATATCTCACTCTCAGAACAAGTTGTATCTATCACTCCCAAATGCAACATACGTATAAACATGGTTATCAAGATACTGTCCTTTCAGGTTGCAATGTAGGAGCCAAGTGAGTCAAATCCTCCTCTAATCACAGCATCGCCAACTCATTTACCTTCCTGACATCAGATATTAACTTATACTTCAAGAACAAACCATTCAAAAAAAATTATCTCAAGAAGCATTGGTAAGACACATTATTCTTAAACTTCGGGAAATAATTTTACCCGTATCGTTCTTCCTTTCTCAGGTGCATACTTTTCAAGAAACTGCATGTTTGTTTTCCAGTATACTTCTCCACCAGACAGCCATGTATCCATATGCATCCCATTTGGAAACTCCACAAAGGTGCACTGAGAATTACGGGCAGCCGCTTTCGCATACAGCATTTTCATGTGAAATGGAGGGACCATCTCATCTTGCAGTCCAGAGAGGAAAAGCACCGGCTGTTTGACCTGTTATTGTTTCAAGATCAGTTTATCACGGGTTGCTACAGACAATCAAATGAGAAGACATTGATCTAACAGGGACATATTTTTTGCAGGACATCAAGCTCCCTCTTTATTCCCTTTTAAGTTTTAAGCCGTGGAACAAATCAGAGAGCAATCAGTCAGCTTGTGGTGTACTTTAATTACGTCCCGTTAAAAGGAATGCAAATGCATGAGATATATTAATATAGAGCTCTTTAAGGTAACATAATGGTAACTGCTTGTTTAAGCCATTTCTTTGGAAACTATAAACAAAAACAATCCATCTAAAGAGAAATCTGCTAAAGTCTACAACTGTTTCTTACCTCAGCAATAGCATCAATTGTTTTCCAGGGGGAGCGTACAACAAAATTAAGAAGCTTCAGGCTTTTTGTACCACTTCCTCCAATAAACCACTTTAAGAAGGGTAGCAAAACGCCAGCCATATCAAGAATGGAAGTGAAAGTATTTTCCAGAATCAATGCAGATACCTATGTCAGGACATTTGCAAATGGTAAACATACAACCATTGGACGTGTAGATATCAAATGAAATTCTGAAAGTAGAAACAACAAGAAAAAAGAATATGCAACTTATCAAGGCATCTGTAATTGTCATTTACCAAGAAATTTTCTGAGAAGGATAAAGTTCTTTTGCATATAACAGGAAGTTTCAGTGGGGTTAATAAAAGGAGGCCACTCTCAAAGCTCAAACGAACCCCCATTTAATATTGCCAAATGACTAGACTATTTCACAATAAATAACTAATTCCGATAGAACTGACCGAGTAGATCATCATTACTGATGAAAAATGACTAGAATCTAACTAATGAGTTACTATAGAAATTTTTGTGCAACAGACTCCAGGCCATCTGCCAAGGACCATGAGTACTAATCGCAGATACTGATAAGAAGCTATCCAAACCAGGCCCTAGAGAAGTGCAGAAGGTGCCCTTAGGCCTTATAAATTTATAAGGCATTGGTTAGTCTTATCTGTAACCATGTGGGATTCTGAATAATATTTCTCCCTTTAAACAATAACATCTACAGTGATGGCGGGCTCTCTCTTCTCTCTCTGCTTCTATACTAAATATACATTTTCTCTACTCCTAACATGCTGCCAATAAGAATATTTACGAATGTTACCTTATCTGGATTGTTTTTGGTAAGCAAAGCTCCAACGGCTCCTCCAAGGGACCTTCCAAATACAACTATTCTAGATGTATCAATGTCAGTCCTTTGAGAAAGGTGATCCAATGCAGCCTAACATAAGTATCAGACAAGAAAATGGATAATAAAATACATGGAGATAAACCGAAGAGTGTAAGGATATGGATAGATTCAGGGAGACGAACAAACCTGAGCATCTTTTGTGAGTCCATGTTGTGAAGGAGAACCATCACTTGCCCCATAGCTAAGCACGGGAAAATCAATCAGCATAGTGTAAACAGATCCAATGTTTAGACTAACAAACAATTAAGATCAAAGATAGACCAGAAACCAGCTAAATGAAACTAACCCGCGATATGAAAGCATGAATACATTGCACTTCAATTTTTGAATCATGATGCGAACCATTTCCAGACGATGAGCAATATCTGGGGTTCTTAAGGTCAAGGCCGCCACAAGGTAAAGAATCCCAGCCAACAGACATAAAACGTAAAATATATAAACCAGACAGGCTTACACATAAACTCCTTAGAGCATACATATATAAACAAACAAAGACCACGCAATGGCTCTGGAAAGGATACTTCCGGCATTTTCCTGGAAAAATAGAATGGTTGGACCTGCACGGAAGGAAAACAATCCAAATATCAACTATCAGAACTCGGAGCCTCAAACTCGGTCCAGTTAAGCTAAAGCTACCAACCACGAGAAGTACTTTGAGGCATATTTTTCAACTAGCTTTTGGGTAGCTGATAAGTTCCAAATGAGCTTAAAAGCAGCAAAAGATCACAAATCTAGGAACAGGAGACCAAAACCTAGCTAAAGAAATCCCCAAAATTCGGTAGATTCAGAAGCTTTCCGAAATGCATAAACCAAATCGGCCAAAAAAATTTACTGAACCGATGAGCAGTATGGAGAAAGAAGTCAGAAATAAAAACGAGAAAGGACCTCGACAATGGGGGAACATCTTGATGAACCAAGCGTGGAGGCGTACGCCATCAGATGATTGAAGCCAAACGTCCTCGTAGTCGAGATTCAGCCTAGAGGGAGTGATCGGATAGGACTTGCTTAAACCAGGAAGCACTGGTACATAGACAAGCTTCTCCTGGAAGGCTACGAGCAGCGCCACTCCGGCGACGACTATGCCTCCAACTCCGTAGAACAACGCGCTAACGTACGTCACCATTTCCTCTGATTCTGCTCAAGGAGCAGATTCCAAATCCGAATCCGAGTCCTAAACAGAAGCAGGAATCGAATTCACTTTTACCACTTTCCTATCTGTATCTCTCGTGGATTTTGCTTTTCTTCTTCCACAGGAGAAAGTTTTACAGGTGAGAGAGAACTAAGAACGATTGAGACAGACAAGGTTTTAAGTGGGCCGAAACTCAAAGCCCATTTTAATCCGATTGGCTAACATATTAGAAGATTTTTGAATTCTTGAAGTTGTTTTTTATTCAGTGGGAGACCGGAGAAGAGGTTTTCATATATTTGGGATACTAGACAATGGTTTTCTTGATTGAAACTGCGACTATGCGTATGTAGTATAGAGACATTTGACTGAATGAATTTGTGTGGAGAGACAAAATGAGTCCAGAGTTGATATTGGGTAATTAAGTGAATTCATGTACAAGCGAGACAAAGTGATAAATGTAAGTTTCTCGTTCTTTAGTGAGCATTGTCAAGTATATGCGACATATCAATGATAGTATAGTATGTCTGTCAAAACGTACCTCGAATCGAAATACACTTAGCAGAGAATTTGTATGACAAAGAGCATCCGAAAGCTATCTCTCGGCGATCACTATATTTTTTCTTAGTGGTCTATATTGCTCATTTGCGGGTTCACTAAAATCTACTAAATGTGATGTTTTCTGATAAACTCTTCCGACTGAAATAAGCAGTTCGATGCATTTACAACGTGTTTACCCAACAAATTGCTTTGACGATTATTAGTAACTTGATTTATATTTGTATAATTGTATAGCGTAGTCACTTGTTTAAATGAGCAACTTAGATAATTGTCAAGCAGTTTTACAATGTTGTCAGTGTTAAGGTTTACAAAGTCAAAGGTGTAGACTTTCCTCTGTTGCAAACCAGAAAACCAAGAAAGAAGCTTGTGTGTTTGTGAAACAGAGCAGTGAAGCACAAAACAGAGAGCAATAAACACAGAAAAGTAAGAACTTGCAGAAAGATAAAGAACACAAGAGATTTAACGAGTTCACGACCCATTAACCATGGTCGCTACGTCTCGCCGAGGCTATCCCCGGAATCCACTAGTTTTCAGTTTGGTGTTTACAACAAGAACATACAAGTGACAGCCTAATGCCCTTCACTAGCACTTAAGCTCACTTCGTAGTGTTCTTGAATAAGAGACAACAATGATCTTAAGCTTATGCTAAACAAAGTTTCTCTCTTTCTCACCTCTCAGAAAACTCTCACACTCCATCTCTCAACTCTCTGCATAATGTTCCTCTTTTATAGTGGAGACACTAAACCCTTGTGCGGCAACCCTAATGCAGCTGGCACCATCTTCATTCAAACTTGATTATGGATCTACAGCCACACATCTTGAACCTGATTACAAGACACACCAACGTTCCTTTTGCCAAAACCTGCAACTCTGCTTTTTTTGTCTTGTTGCAGTTTCTGATTTTGGTCTGTGGTCCCAAAAGCTTAACTTAACTCTAGTTTGATTTATGTCACCTGAGTTACTCCTTGAGTTGTCTTTATTGTCACCAATGAGGCTTGTTCATCACGTCTCATCTTCACAAATCTCCACCTGAGACAAAGATGATCAAGCCAATCAGCCACACTTAACTTAGAGAGAGAGATATAGTACCTTGAACTAGTATCTGGATTCCAGCCTCGGATCCCTGAGTAGATTACTCAGACTTGACCTGTAACAAGTTCAATGCAGTTTGAAACTTGTTAACAGGTAACACCTTTGTGAAAATATCAGCAGGATTCTTCTCTGTTGAAATTTTCAGAACTTCCACATCACCATTAGCAATCACATCTCTGATGAAGTGGTGTTTCACATCAATGTGCTTTGTTCTTTCATGATGCACATTGTTCTTTGAGAGTGCAATGGCACTCTGAGAATCGCAGAAGATCTCGACAGTCTTCTGTTCATAGCCAAACTCCCTAAGAATTCCCTTCAACCACACAGCCTCTTTTACTGCTTCAGTCAATGCCATATACTCAGACTCCGTAGTTGATATTGATACAACTCTTTGCAGACCAGATTTCCAACTTAGTGTGTTTCCTCCAAGAGTAAACACCAAACCTGTGGTAGATCTTCTACTATCTCTATCACCTCCATAATCTGCATCACAGTAACCCACCAGCTTAAATTCAGAACTCTTCTTGTAGCACAACTTTGTTGATAGTGTGCCTTTGATGTACTTCAACACCCACTTGACTCCATGCCAGTGATCTCTCACAGGCTGGCTCATGAATCTGCTTATGATTCCTACAGGAAAGGCCAAATCTAATCGTGTACCAACCATAGCATACATAATGCTCCCCACAGCGTTGCAGTAAGGAACTGTCTTCATGTAATCTTCATCCCTGGCCACTTTTTCTGGTGTAGCAGCACTCAGTTTTAACTCTGCTCCTAGTGGAGTTGCTGCAGGCTTTGTGTTCTGCATATTGTAAGTCTCAAGAACTTTGTTCAGATAACCTTCTTGAGACAGTCTCAAGACCCCCAACTTTCTGTCTCTGATGATCTCAATGCCTAGGATCCTTTTTGCAGGTCCAAGATCCTTCATTTCAAACTTTAAGCTGAGCTCCTCCTTTAGCTTAGCAATTGCTTCTTTGTCTTTGGAGGCAACCAGCATGTCATCTACATAGAGAAGTAGATACATGATAGAATCTTCACCAAGCTTCTTTGTGTAAGCACAATAGTCATATTGACTTCTGACAAAACCGATTTCAGACATGTACTTGTCAAATTTCTCATTCCACTGCCTTGGTGCCTGTTTCAACCCGTACAGAGCTTTGTTCAAAAGACATACTTGATTGTCTTTGAACATGCATTCATATCCCTCAGGAGGAGTCATGTAGATCTTTTCCTTTAACTCTCCATTAAGGAAAGCTGTCTTGACGTCTAACTGCTCCAGCTCTAAGTCTTATTGAGCAACAATAGCAAGCAGAATCCTTATGGATACGTGTTTTACTACAGGAGCAAAGATCTCATGATAATCGATTCCTTCTCTCTGAGCATACCCTTTGGCAACAAGTCTAGCTTTGTAACGAGGTTCTTCCACGCCTGGTATCCCAAGTTTATACTTGTAGATCCACTTACACCCTATTACTCTTTGATTTTCAGGTCTTTCCACTGTAGTCCAGGTGTTATTCTTCATCTGAGAATCGATTTCCTCATCCATAGCTAGCTTCCATTTCAGCCAATTAACATCTCTTTTAGCATCTCTGTAATCTTCAGGTTCTAGAGTATCTCCATCTTCTGTAGTGCATAAAGCTTCTAGATAATAATCTTCATCATCAAATCTGACAGGTGGTCTGATTTGTCTTCTTTCTCTGTCTCTAACCAGATGATAGCTTCTAGGAGATTGATTTACATCAATTCCTGCATCATCATTAACCTGTGTTGGAGATTGCAGGTTTGGTGAACTTGATCTTGGTGAGTGATGTTCAGCTTCATGATCTCCACCTGAGATAGTATCTCTTTCTGCATCAAGATCCAATTCAACATATGATCTAGATAGATCATCTTCTTCCACAGCAATGCTTTCATTTCCCTTTAGCAAATCTTTATAGACTGCATTTTCTTGAAAGATAACATTTCTGCTGACTGCAAATTTCTTTTCATCTATCAACCAAACCTTGTAACCTTTCACTCCAACCGGATAACCAACAAGTATACCCTTCTTAGCTCTCGGATTTAGCTTCCCATCATCACTGTGAACGAAAGTAACACAACCAAATCTTCTTAGGTAGCTGTAAACCGGAGCCTTTCCAGACCATTTTTTGTCTGGGATATCAAAATTCAGTGCTGATGATGGCGTTTTGTTGATTAGAATAACTGCAGTGTGAGTGGCTTCAGCCCAAAATCTCTTTGGTAACCCTGAATCACTCAACATACTTCTGACCTTTTCCATGATGGTTCTGTTCATACGTTCTGCAACTCCGTTTTGTTGCGGAGTGTAAGCACATGTTCTGTGCCTCAGAATCCCTTTTGCTTCACAGAAACCATCAAACTGTTTGTTGCAGTATTCAAGTCCATTGTCAGTTCTGAGAGTCTTCAACTTCAGCTCAGTTTGATTCTCCACCATATTAACCCACTCAACAAACTTATCAAACGCTTCATCTTTAAATTTCAGAAAGTATACCCACACTTTTCTCGAGTAATCATCAATGAATGATATGAAGTACTGGCACTTACCAAGTGAGAATGGAACAGATGGTGCTCCCCATAAGTCTGAATGCACATACTCAAGCTTTTCCTTTGTGTTGTGCTGAGCTATGTTAAAACCCACTCTTTTAGATCTTCCATATATGCAGTCTTCACACAAATCAAAGGTTGTCACTTTCTTCTTGTCTAGAAGCCCTTTGTTGAGCAGCACATTCATGTTTTTCTGACTCATGTGACCCAATCTTCTGTGCCAGAGCACTGTATCATCTTCTCTCTTTTCAGTAGCATGTGATTCTTCTATCACAGCTTTTCCTTGAAGTAGATATAGTGTCTCATGTCTTCTTCCTTGTAGAAGAGTCTGTCCTCCAACCTTGATACTTAGAATACCATTCTCTGATTCAAATCTGTAACCGGATTTCTCAAAAGTGCCAAGAGATAACAAATTTCTGTCCATCTCAGGAATGTATTTCACATTTGTGAGCACTACATTCAAACCGTCTTCATTCTTGATGCGAATACTCCCTACTCCTTTGACCTTAGAGACTGTTTTATTTCCCATTCTGACTGCACCTCCAGCTTCTTCATTTAAATGCTCAAACCAGTCTCTTCTGTAGGTCATGTGACAGCTACAGCCAGTATCCATGATCCACTCATTCTCCAGATTTACTTCTGTTGAATGTAGAGCTTCTGTCACATACAACCCAGTAGCTTCCACTAGGTTCGCTTTTGCTGTAGAAGCTTCAGCCTTGTTGTTTCCTTGATCTTTGGGTCTTGTCTGAGCTTTGTTCTTGTTTGGGCAGGAACTCTTAAAGTGACCTTCTTCTCCACAGATCCAACACCCTCGTTTACTCTTAGATTTGGATCTTGCTCTGTTACCCTTGCCTTTTTCTCTCTGCTCATATCTTCCCCTGTTCTCTGCCTTATCTTTGACATACAACCCTTCTGCTTGAGTTTTAGGGCTCTTTCTACTTAAACCCAGCTCTAGTTCTTTAGCATGAATGACTGAAATGATTTCATCTAGAGACAAAGTAGTTCTAGCTGTCCCATATCTCAGTGTATCTCTTAACTGGTCAAACTGTCTAGGCAAAGACATCAACAACAGTATGGCTTGATCTTCATCAGCTATACTAACATTAGTGTTCTCCAGATCAGCTATTAAACGTAGAAAGTCATCAATATTACCTTCAATAGACTGATTTTCGTTCATCTTGAAGCTGTAAAGCTTTTGTTTCAGATATATCCTGTTTGGCAGAGCCTTAGACATGTACAGCTTGTCCAAAGCAGTGAACATTGAAGCTGCAGTCTTCTCCTTGATAATCTTTCTAAGGACCTGGTTTGAAACACTCAAGATGATAGTGCTTCTTGCTTTCTTCATCTTTTCTTCAGAGATTTCTTCTGCTACCTTCTTGTCTTTCCCTTCTTCTGTCTTCTCTGAATCTGAGACCTTTTCTTCTGAAATCTTAGTCTCTCTTAAAGCTTCACTCAGACCTAATATCTCCAGATGAGCAATGAGTTTCTCCTTCCACAATGTGTAGTCTCCACGCCCATCAAATTTCTCAACCTCTATTCTTGCTGATGCCATGATTCTTGACTGGAGAGATCTTTACAGAACCACAACCAAGTAACCAAGGCTCTGATACCACTCTGTTAAGGTTTACAAAGTCAAAGGTGTAGACTTTCCTCTGTTGCAAACCAGAAAACCAAGAAAGAAGCTTGTGTGTTTGTGAAACAGAGCAGTGAAGCACAAAACAGAGAGCAATAAACACAGAAAAGTAAGAACTTGCAGAAAGATAAAGAACACAAGAGATTTAACGAGTTCACGACCCATTAACCATGGTCGCTACGTCTCGCCGAGGCTATCCCCGGAATCCACTAGTTTTCAGTTTGGTGTTTACAACAAGAACATACAAGTGACAGCCTAATGCCCTTCACTAGCACTTAAGCTCACTTCGTAGTGTTCTTGAATAAGAGACAACAATGATCTTAAGCTTATGCTAAACAAAGTTTCTCTCTTTCTCACCTCTCAGAAAACTCTCACACTCCATCTCTCAACTCTCTGCATAATGTTCCTCTTTTATAGTGGAGACACTAAACCCTTGTGCGGCAACCCTAATGCAGCTGGCACCATCTTCATTCAAACTTGATTATGGATCTACAGCCACACATCTTGAACCTGATTACAAGACACACCAACGTTCCTTTTGCCAAAACCTGCAACTCTGCTTTTTTTGTCTTGTTGCAGTTTCTGATTTTGGTCTGTGGTCCCAAAAGCTTAACTTAACTCTAGTTTGATTTATGTCACCTGAGTTACTCCTTGAGTTGTCTTTATTGTCACCAATGAGGCTTGTTCATCACGTCTCATCTTCACAGTCAGAAATTAAGAACAACAAGCTCAAACCATTGTCCTCTCTTGATTATTATGATAGTTTTGGAGAGAAGACCAAAAAAAAAATGCAAAACTTTTGCGGATTTGATCTTTGTACATGACAAAGTTGTATATGAAAATAGCAAAAGTATGAGAAGAGGCCAAAATGAATCCCAGTGACACTAGTATAATGTTTTAGAACACGAAAACCAAGAACAAGACCATAGTGGCTGGTCAAAGATAATATTGTTTAAAAATGGAAGAGATGTTATTAGTAACTACATGTTTGACAAAGGGTCCAAGGCCTGTGTTAATTCTTAGTTAAGTACATTTTACAACATTGATAACAACAACAACAAAATCAGTCAAAAAAACGAGTGTTTTAAGAGCTAATACTTATGCTTATCAAAAACATCGAAACAAAGAAAAAAAAAAAGGTAATTGGTCGTAGAATTTTTGTGAGTTGTGAAGAATAAATGCATCTTTCTGTATAGAGAAAATACTTACACCCCAATAATATCCGACTCGTTAGATCGATCAATCATTCATTCACTTGACAAAATGTAGAGTAGACGAAGACACCACATATTTACATCTTGTCGGAAATGAGACAATACTTGATACACATATTGCTATCTTTAAATGTCAATTAGTTGCCATCAGAAGCGTTATCTGAACAAACAACAATAACAACACAATAGCTATATATATTACACATTAAATGAAACTATGCTAAAAAAAAAAAAAACTTTTTAAATTATTATTGTGACATATAGCTTACACTTAGTAAGAGCCACACATAAAATCTCTTGTCTTCCGTTTTAGGTTTCTCAAAAGTCAGAGTCAGAATTCTACAATTACCTCGATAATTCAAATCCAGCAGCAGCACACTTGACTAGTTGCGTAAGATGAAGAAGAAAAAACGACCTTTGATACTTGTGAAAGCTTGAATCCACAGTCCACACAAATCATCTATATAGTCTACTGACAAAGTATAAGCTAATCAGTAAGTAAAACAAGCAACAAGAAAAAAAGAATAGTTTTACATTTTTTACTTTCGTAATATTGTTTTTACCACGGGATTACGTAATTACCGTAGTGAGACGCGGAACTTTTTGTGGAACCGGTAATCCCGGTTAAAGTTTTTTTTTAAGCAGAGAAGATTATTAAACAATTAAAAAAAGAGAGAGAGAGAGAGTACAAAAACATAAAAAGAGCAACAAACAAACCAAAGTAGAAGAAGAAGAAGAAGAAACTGACACCATTCTCTCTCTCTCTCCGTATCCAAAAAAAAGGAGAAAAAATCAAATCAAAGACCAAGCCAGTCACCGGAAAATGCTGACGTGTATAGCTCGTTCAAAGCGAGCCGGCGATGAATCTTCAGGCCAACCCGACGATCCGGATTCCAAACACGCCAAATCTCTTACATCTCAGGTAAATTCTTCTATTCAATTAATTCAACTCACTCTCTTCCTCTTCCTCCTCCGACTTAATTTCCGATTGAGGGTATTTTCGTCAATTCAATCTCAGCTCAAAGACATGGCACTCAAAGCTTCGGGAGCTTACCGGCATTGCACGCCGTGTACGGCGGCGCAGGGTCAGGGACAAGGGCAAGGACCGATCAAAAACAGCCCGGTGTCGGTAAAGTCGGATTTCGAATCGGATCAACGGTTCAAAATGCTTTACGGGAGATCAAACAGCTCGATAAACTTCACGGCGGCGGCGCAACAGCAACAGCAGCAGCCTAGGGTATGGGGAAAGGAGATGGAAGCGAGGCTAAAAGGGATATCGAGCGGGGAAGCGACACCAAAATCGGCGAGCGGGAGGAACAGAGTGGATCCGATAGTGTTGGTGGAGGAGAAAGAGCCAAAAGAATGGGTAGCGCAGGTAGAGCCAGGGGTTCTCATTACCTTCCTTTCTCTTCCCGGCGGTGGTAATGATCTCAAACGTATACGTTTCAGGTTCCTTTACTCTTCCCTATCTACGCTTTTTTTTCTTTTGTTGACTCTGTTTTTTTTTCTTTTTTTTTCTAATCGTACGGTTTGGTTTTTTTGGTTTTGGCCTCGTCGTCGTTGGCTCGTTTTTGTTCTTTTTAATTATAATTGAAATTAGCACGTTGGTTTTGGTCGTGATTTTGTGAGAATGTTCGGAAAATGCTCCGATTCTAACTACACAGAACAGACCTCAATCTGATTTTTTTTTCTTAAAAACAAAAAAAAAACAATTATAAAGTCTGAAAATCTTTGAATGCTATATACTAAAAATGGATATATAGTATTAATTATTTTGGGGTGTATGTTATGAAATTTAGTGTAAGATAAAAAAAATTTACGAGTATATATATATATGAGCTTTGTGGAGTTCAATGTCTAGGCAACATATGTTGTTGATAATAACTAAAAACTAGTACTAGTAAGACCATTACGAATCTAACAATCATGATCATCATGCCATGTCTTTTTGTAGAAATGTACTATACTTACTTATTTTTCTTTATTTTTAAAATTTAGTATCTCGAATTTACATTTAGAATATAACAAATTCTTATAAGAGATTAAAAAAAAAATTAAGGTCCAACTAGTTTTTTCGTTTTTTTTTTTCTTCTTTTCTGTTTTGGGTTGATCTTGAATCTTGATTCAGGTTTGAGTTATGGTTTTAAAGCTATTCTAAAACTAAAAGGGTTTTTTTTTTTAAATGTTTGATTCATTTTGGATCATATGTTTATGTAAAGAACATACTGTATAACAAAAATAGTTATAACTTAAATTGAACACTCCCAAAGAATTAGGACAGTAACAGTAACTAACTATTATCTCAGGTAAAAGAAAGAAATAAATGATTGTCACCCAAATACTGTAATAGGTAATAAAGTAGAAAAATGGGGTAATTTTGTAGGGTGTGAAAATGGGGAAAAAGTTGGTAAAAAAAGAAAAGAAAAGAAAAGAGAGAATGGGGGAACACAGTTGTCGACTGTAACGCTTCACGCCTAATGAGAAGCAAAAGGCCGTAAAGGTCCAAAAAGCAGAAATATTATTATTAGTATAGAGTATTTGGGTGTTTTCCTTTTTAAAGTGCTTTCTTGGGTCATCTCTTCTCATTCTGTCTCTTCTTCCCTTTTTTGTTTGCCTTTACTTTTTAATCATTTTTCTTATTTCCTCTCTTTTTGTTTTCTTCAAATTGTCCAGTTCACATGAAAAAACTTCAACATTGTTCTTTATTTTATTTTATATTTTCTTTATACATTGTAAATGAAAACACTCTAGAATGTGTCACTAATCGTAATTCTTTATGGAGTTGTTAGATACTATATTTGTATTCTTTCTTTGTATTTTCTAAGTTACAATCAAAATATTCCAAAATCATTGTTTGGTAGGTGTCTATGTTTTCTTAAAATATCATTTTCACCAATATCATATATCCTTAATTGATATATTAAAATAAAAGAATCTTGTTTTATTGATTTCATCAGTGCCTTATTATCCGCGTCTTTGTCCTGTTAATCACATTATTGCTCTTGTTGGGATAGCATAGGAAAAGAATAGTTCTTCTCTAAATTATTATTTATAAAAAAAAAACAAAGCAAATAGTAGCTTTTAGACCTTTAGCACAGTGTTTGGTTTCACTCGTATGTCGCCTATTGATAACGACAAGTCCATTTCAAACGTTTCTTTGTCTCTTCCTTCCTTCGATTCTTTGTCTTCTTTCATATTAATCACACTTCTTGTTCTACTTCTTTCACTTACTGTCTGTTTCTTTTTCTTCCCCTTTGTCATAACCTTGTTTTGGTCTCATATGTGATCGATCATAAGGCTTTCGTTTCATTCACAAGTATGTATATTGTTTCCTTTTCTATATCTTGATTAGGTTGATTCATATTAACAGTCCTCTGTTACCTGTGTTTCTTCTTCTTTTTGTTTAGTTTTTGATTTCTAAATACTACTATATAACTTTGGGAGAAAAAAAGATAAAAAAAAATTGAGTTTGCTTTGAGAAAATCTCTCCTACCCACCTCCTTTTGTAGGACACAATCATATTTCCTAATTATTAGCTTTGACCATTGTTGTCGCTATTTCTTCGTCCATGTCTTTCTTTTTTTCTACGAAATTTTGATTGATTATTACTACTATTAGCCGGCCATTAAACCAAACAATAATTTTTATAAAACAATTTCAAAAGGTTGGATCTGTGTCACTTGTTTTCAACTCTCTTTTCTTAGCCCCTTAGCCCTATGTGTTCTATTTGTCAAAAAGTTTATTGAATTTGCTATTGTTAAATCTACCTTTAGTTCGCCTTCATTAGTGCCCACTTTGGTCCTCTGGTGGTTCTGGTTAAAGTCACTTCTTTATCACTATTTTTTTTTAAAGAAAATTAACCGTTACGATTAACTTAGAATCTCATGTGTCAGAAAAATATATGTAAGCCAAGTTGTGTTTTTACACTTGAACAGAACATTATACTTTTAGCTGTTAAGAATAATTACCGGGTTTAGTCTGACAACTTAACTTTGGCTTTTCAATGTTTCATCTTTTGCTCTTTGACTGGCTCTACTCTGACCATGACCTTTTTCCTAGTAGCATTGTCAATGTTATGTTTCAAAAATGTATCATCACACTTGTTTTTCTTTATTTGTCATTGAATAGCCGAGACATGTTCAACAAGTTACAAGCTCAGCGATGGTGGGCAGATAACTATGACAAAGTAATGGAACTTTACAATGTTCAAAAACTAAGCCGCCAAGCTTTCCCGCTTCCCACGCCACCTAGATCCGAAGACGAGGTTAGCTTTCTCACTGACTAAATCGGTTTGACATATTAAACCCGTGATTGATTAGTCACCAATTTCTCTGGAAATCTTCTTTTTTTTTGAGTAGAATGCAAAAGTGGAGTACCATCCAGAGGACACTCCCGCAACACCGCCTCTAAACAAAGAACGGTTGCCTCGTAACATCCATCGTCCAGCTGGATTGGCGGCTTACTCATCTTCGGATTCACTGGACCATAATTCAATGCAGAGCCAGCAGTTTTATGACTCTGGTCTACTCAGCTCAACTCCTAAAGTTTCAAGCATCAGTGGAGCCAAGACAGAAACTTCTTCCATGGATGCTTCCATAAGAAGCAGCTCATCGAGGGATGCAGACCGGTCAGAGGAAATGTCGGTAAGCAATGCGAGTGATGCTGACAACGAATGGGTGGAGCAAGATGAGCCTGGCGTTTATATCACCATTAAAGTTTTACCAGGTGGGAAAAGAGAGCTTAGAAGAGTCAGATTCAGGTAACCAAAACACACTTCCTTACGTTGTTTCAAAATCAAACATCACTCAAACTGTGTTTTCTTTTACATTGCAGCCGAGAGAGATTTGGGGAGATGCACGCGAGACTGTGGTGGGAAGAGAACAGGGCAAGGATACACGAACAATACTTGTGATCGTCGTATCTAGATGCATCCCAAGGGTTTTTGTGTTTTTTATTTTGCTCCTTCTCTCTGGTATACCGTTTTTTATTTTATTTTTTCCAGCTCAAGTAAATTCTTCCACAGGTACTCTTTGTGCCTCTATGAAATCTCGAATGTCATCAATTGTGGAATATGTTTAAGGAGGTTTCTTATTTACTTCCTTCAAAAAAATTTGCAAAAGCTTGGAAAAGATATAATACTACTGGCTACTTTGCTCAATACGTGTGTATCCTTGGTTCTTTTTAAAAAAAAGGTTTCTGTTCTTCAAGTTTTAGTTTTTAGTGGCTCATCGATGGGTATTATAAATTACCAGCGAGCTTTTGATATCTAAAGAAATAGGGCTGATGGTGTCGTGTCGTGTGTATGATCAAGGTTAAACTAGAAAAATATGTTTTGTCCAATGTTGTTTTTTTTACTGTTTGGGTCAAAAAAAACTCGAAACCAACCTGATGAGTAATGACCATTGTCAGATTACAAAACCAAACGAAACGTATCAGTAAAACTGTATTTTTTTTTTTCTTACCTTCTCTTCTCATACGCCACGGCCTGACAAAGCAAAACGTATCAGTAAAAATTTATTTATCTTATATATTAATCTATTAAAGATTTCGAATAAGTTAATTTATTAGTGAAGTGGTATAAATCGTGAGAAATGGTAAATTTAGTCTAGAATTTGGAGCAGAGTTCTAGATGTAATTTAGTTTACTTATGAAAAAGTTGTTATATTAGACAAAAATAAGAATGAGTTAAAATGAAAAATTTGTAAAATAGGCTTGATGAGTTGATGGGTAGCTAAAAGCGTAAAATCACGCCAGAAAAAAAAAAGATAGATACAAAAAAATTTACTAATATAGTTTCTTGAAACCTAAACTTTTACTATTGTAGTATAAGCAACATTAGAACAAGATTATTGGCAAGATTTTAAGTGTAAGAATTACACTAGAAGCTATCTTATTACACTAGAAGCTATCTTATTAATTTTTACACTTAAGATCTTGCCTTTAATCTTGCCCTTATTGGTTAGATCTATCCAATAATGTTGGTCTAAGTAGTAAATTAGAATACATATCTCAACTACGTATATAAAATGCATGTTACATAGATATTTGCAACAACCAAAAAAAAAAGAAAAAAAATAGAAGAGAGAAACCAGTTTGTTTGGGTTATTTCCTTCCGTTTTATTCAGACAAAACTCTTCGTCTTCGTTTTGCATACACACGTTTCATTATGGGTTGGCCTAAAAAGTCATTCTTGCTCATACTATATCGTGCATGGCATTCTCGTTCAATGAGAATCAGAAGCCAGCCGAAACAGAACAAAATTTTTGGATTATACTATCCTACCGATATGAAACTCATCTACAAGTTGTTTTGATTTTAGATTCTTGATCATAGACGACTATCCCAAATCATTAGTAAATGATGCTCTAATAGTTGTAATAGAGTGGAATAAGATCAAGATCCACATGCAGTAACACTCATCTTATGGTATTCATCTCAAATGGCACTAATTAGCTTCTTTTGTGCAGCCACTCAGATTATCACTGGCTATGTGTTTTTCTTGCTAACTTCAAGAGATCACACGTATGAAGGCTTAATGAATAGTCTCTTCTTCTCCAGGCAGAGGAAACTGCTCAAGAAGTAGAGCTTTGATATTCCAATACATTTAAACAACTTGAAAGTTTTAGTGTTGAATTCTGTTTTCGTATTAAACTCTGTTTTAGTGTTAGCCTTGGTTTTGGAACTTGGAAGTAACATATCTTCATATGATTTCTTATGTTCCTTCTGCTTGAAACATTATCAACTGTTAGGCTTAATGTATGTCCAAATAGCAAAGAATATGGGGACTTAAGACGCTCTTTATTGTCTCAAAGTTGTACCACAACAGAATGTAGTCTCACATTCCAACAAACATAGCAATGATAATATTCTTATAATGAAAGAAACAGATTCATTTGTGAAACCAAAATGAGACTTTAAAAGTACGATTAGATCAATGAAGCTGCTATTGGTCGTAGACCCTGGAGATAGTACGTGTTTAAGAGCTCCACATAGTTCGTAACTGGCTTATACAATCTCGGTCTTGCATCAGACACAAGCCCTTCTACAGGCTGAATCTCTTTGTCTACACCGGGAATGCAAAATATAGCCACAGATACCCTTTCCTTTTCTCTATTCGTCACCACTCTATGAACAGGACTCTTGTAGATCCCATTGCTCATTATCTAAACACACAGAGACACTATATATGTCAAATCTATCCATCTTTAATTCAAAATCATATGCATATATCTATATGATTGATTGATTACCTCCATCTGATCTCCAACAATGATCAGAATTGTATCAGAGACAAATGGAGCTTTATACCACTTGCCATCTTTGAGGAACTGAAGACCTTCGACATTTTTGTCGGGCAAGAGAAGAGTGACAGCCGACTTATCAGCGTGCGGTCTAACCCCAATAACCTTGTCTGGGCTTGGACATGGAGGATACATGTTGAATCTTGCATCCAGCGTAGCATTTTCTCCACACATGTCTAGAAAGCTGTTCTCTTCCAATTCCAATGATCTTGCTATGGCTTTACAAACTTGCTTGATCACTAAATGTTGCTTCATTGAGTATTCATGTAAAGTTTCCCTGAAGAAAACGGTTGTCAAAATCATCAATGCCAATGAACCGAGATGATGTTAAACGTGAAAGGACTTTTACCTGAATCCGACAGGGAGTTCAGGCCAGAACTTAAGCTGTCTCTGTTCTTCAGGGTAAGTAGTAATATACAAACGGTCGATCCAATCAAGAACTTGATCATCCCACAGAATCATGTCGTTCCCATATCCTTGGATACTACCAATCTCTCTTGCGTACTTGTGCTTCTCTTCTGTCGGCAGTGCAAAGAACTCCTTGGTCAGCTTGTAAATCTTGTCAAGAAACGCTTCTGTGATTCCATGATTCATCACCTATATCAACAAAAAATCAAACTCTATGGTATTACCAGATCACTTCAATAAAGTTTCATGACTCTGATCATCACCAAGAAGGGTCAAACCTGAACGACGCCCCATGTAGAGAGAGCCGAGTGAAGCTTACTCAACTCTTCTCTACCGGCTTCAGAAGAAGTGAGGAGAAGACTGAGATCAATGGCCTGAATATCCATCTCCGGCACCGGACCATTAAGAGGTTGGCCTTTGTCGTCGCCGGTGGGTGCTTGGAGATATCTATCCGGTAGTCCTCCGCCAGCTGCAACAACCTCTTGGACAGTCTTGAACTTTGGCTTCTCCATAGTTCCTACTGAGTTTAGCGGATCTTGAACTTGAGGAGCCTTTTAGTTGGGACTAAAAAGCAAGTTGACCCTTTGCCCTCGGGTTCGCATTTTCTTATATCCAAAGGCAACACTATTTTTTTCTTTTTTTTTTTGCCTGCAACACTATTTTAATATACAGAAGAAACAAACTTGCACAGGCCAAAAAAACAAAAATAAAGATACCGTTTGATTTCATTGTTTTCGAACTTCGTAGATTTCTTTTTTTATCCTTCCCCGAAAAAAACATTCATGATAGCAGTAGCAACGATAATCAGTCAACCAAAACCTCTATTTTTTTTTATTTTTTTTTGACATCCCAAAAACTCTATTTCTTATAATTATTTTCTTTGTCTTAATTGACATGTGAATAAATCTTATGCCAATAATACAATAGCATACTATTGCGCAATAGTATATGAAGTAAAAATAAAACAAAAGTATTGAAAATAAAATCTTAATAACTTTGTGTGAAAATACTGCGAGCTTTAGGAGCGCTACTGCTAGATAGTTTCATAGATAGATTGTTTCCATTAAGCTTTTTTAGTCAACGGCATATATCTCCAGTTTAATTAAAGAAAGGCATTGCATCTAGACAGACAAAAAGAGGCAGTTCTAATTGGTAAAATGGAAAATCACCAAATTTGTAAATATATATGGTAACTAAATAACGTCAGCAAAAAGAAAGAAACAATTAAAGAAGCAACTATACAATTCAAGTGATATCAATGAAAATGGGAATATATATGTGTATATATATATAAAAGGTTACACAACCTACGTTTTGTAACAAAACAAAGAAAAAAAAGAGAAAGATAAACAAGTTTGGTTCCTGATTTTGCAGATACGAGCTTCGTTATGGGGTGTGCTATAATATTTGGCTTTCTACTGCTCTTGTGCTTGTGCACGGCAGCTCTGATCACGTGCACAGCAGTTCTGCTCAACCACAATAATGATGACGGCTCAACTAAAGTGGCAGCAACTAACATCGGCTTAAACTACGGTCTCCTTGGAGACAACCTCCCGTCTCCGTCCAATGTGATCAGCCTTTACAAGTCCATAGGAATCACTAAAATCCGCATCTTCGACCCAAACACTGATGTTCTTAACGCCTTACGCAACCACCAAGATATTGGTGTCACTGTTGGCGTCAAGAACCAAGACCTAGCTGCTCTTGCGGCCAGCCAAGAAGCTGTTAAGGTTTGGTTTGCAACCAACATCGAGCCTTACTTGGCTGACGTGAACATCACGTTCATTACCGTTGGCAACGAAGTCATCCCCGGAGAGATCGGTCCTCAAGTGCTTCCAGTCATGAAGTCTCTCACCAACCTTGTCAAGTCGAGGAATCTTTCGATCTTGATAAGCACCGTGGTGGCTATGTCGAACCTAGGACAGTCGTACCCACCTTCCAAGGCAATGTTCACACCTCAAGGACGTGAACAACTTGTTCCCGTGCTGAAGTTCCTGTCTCAAAAGAATACACCAATCCTCGTCAACATCTACCCTTACTTCGCTTACGCGTCAAATCCCGTAAACATCAGTCTCGATTATGCCATCTTCAACACCAAACATGTCGTGGTCGAGGACGGGCTAATGAAGTACTCAAACCTATTTGATGCGATTTTCGACGCGTTCGTGTGGGCAATGGAGAAAGAGGGCGTGAAGAATTTATCCATGGTTGTGTCAGAGACAGGATGGCCTTCGGCCGGTAATGGAAACTTAACAACACCAGACATCGCTGCTACGTACAACAGAAATTTTGTCAAACATGTTGAAAGCGGTATAGGTACACCAAAGAGACCAAACTGTAGCATCCAAGGGTTTTTATTCGCGACTTTTAACGAGAATCAGAAACCAGCTGGAACTGAACAAAACTTTGGATTGTACAATCCTACAGATATGAAGCCTATCTACACGTTGTTTTGATTTATAGATTTTTAATTCTTAGACTATCTCCAACTCGTTAGTTATTTAGCTCTAATAGTGGTTTTTAGTTTAAGGGCCCTTTTTTTATAAACGCTCTAATAATGGTTATTAGCCTAACGCAGCTGAGTTTGGAGTTAACCAACTTTGTAATGGCATTTGAAACTATATTTTCCTCTTTCTTTTTTTTTTTTGTCTTAAAACAATTTTTACAATCGCAAAGTGTAAGCAAGCATAAACGCTATGTAGACACCATTAACGTTGTTAATGTAGGCGAAAGAACTGGCTCCTTCTCAACTCGCTAAAAGCCTATACCCACCAAAAGCTTGAGTCATACAAAAGCAAGTTGAGAAGTTAGAGCATCATCAATGCAAGACTATTAAAATTGATCTTATAATTTGTTTAATAATTTAATTGAAAACTGAGCCTCTTCTACCCATATTTTGTTCTTATATAACATACCATATCTTAGGTTTTAAGTGTAATTTTGATTTTTATTTAATGCTAAATTAACATAAGAATGCTCTAAGAGCTGTGCATTGAGGATGGTCTTAGAAACCCTCTATTATAATTTTTTTGTGCTTTTCATAAAACTATATATATCAAACATGTTGAATAACACAGATTTTTTTAATCACTTTCTAGAAACAAAATTTGAACCGAGTCGTTTATCAATCTCTTAAATTTCAAGTCAAGGTGATCATGTAAATTGTAAGAGTTTCTAAGTTTAATCTAGAATTCGGAGCACAGTTTCTAGATGTATTGTAGTTTATTTATGAAAAAGTTGTTACGTTAGAAAAAGAAAAAAGAATGAATTTAAAATGATAAATAGCAAATTAGTAAAATAGGCTTGATGGAGAGCTAAACCACGCCAAAAATAACAAAAAAAATTACTGATAGAGTTTGAACCCTAAAATTTTGACTATTTTAGTGATACTAGTAGATTAGAAAACATATCTCAACTATGTATATAAAGTTTCGTATTAAAAAAACTATGTATATAAAGTGCATGTTCCTACAACCAATGTTTTGCAACAAAATAAATAAAAGAGAAACAAGTTTGTTTAGTTACCTCGTGTCCGTTAATCAGACGAAAATCTTCATCTTCGTTATGCATACACGTACACCTTTCATCACGGATTGTCCTATAAAGTCATTATTAATAATGCTCTCGTGCATGACAACGTTCAATGAGAATCAGAAGCCACCAGGAACAGAACCAAATTTGGATTATACTATCCTACGTGCTGATATGAAAACCATCAACAAGTTGTTTTGAAATTTAGATCGTTGACGTTGATTGATTATCCCAAATCATTAGTAAATGATGCTCTAATAGTTGTTAGAAATTTACCAGCATTTTGGTTTATATGATCCTGCTGGCTGCTGAGACGAATCCCATGTTCAATGTTTACAGTTTCTGTTAAGGGTTTGGGTTGTCAACAGTGTTCTAATAGTTGTTTTAAGGATTTAAATTTTAAAGACCAGGTTTACTACTCATTTAACAAAGTTTTGGTTTTTCAATTCAAGTTTAGCCTTGTCATAAAATTCACTTCAGTATTCGGCTCTACTGAATTGCAAGAAAGATAGGCTTTTGAATTTTGATTTTGCCCAGCTCATACGTTTTCACATAACTAAAACTTTCTTTGCAGGACATTTTTGTATTTTTTATTATTTTTTTGAAATATATAAGAAAACGTCACCAAAAGCACAACGATGATAGGTTCAGTGAACAATAGATCCCTGGTTCGACAACTTTGCGAATTACATTACAAAAAGAAGAGAAAAGAAGAGAAGAAATAACTTGAGCAGATCTTTAGGTATCATAGGCGGTAACCATATGAACCTGATATCCTTGTCGAGTAGACGACAAATGTTTGCTGTACCCGTCATTGATTTAGTGACCATATTTCTGGAACTCCCACTCACTGTTATCTGTTAAAACTCGGCAAAATTAACAAAGAAACAACAACTGCAAACTAGTCAAAAAAAAAGCTTTTAAATTGAGAAACACTTACCTAATGGACAAACTTGACGAGTCTTTAGCCATCTGCTGATGCAGTGAAAGTGGAAGGCGTGATTGCAAACCCCTGAAAGTACCAGCATCAGGTGGCTTTAGTTAGAAAAAGCACAGAACAGAATATATTTCAACTTGGATTGTCCAAATACACATTATAGAATAATAAAGGATTCGAGAAGGTGCCCTCACACAATCACATATGTCTACTTTCAAACACTTCCAGAGTATGATCAATTGAGAATACAGAGATACATAAGCAGTGATTTAGGCCATCCTTTAAGTTTCTCATTCATCCTTAATAATACAACCCAATGCAAGACAATGAAAGCAAGCACACACAATAAAATTAAATAGATTCTGATCTCTCTTACAAAATATTTAAAGCCCCATAAATTTAATCAACCGTACTACTCACTGACCAATTTAGATTGCTGCAAAACAATAATATGTTCTCCTTTCAAAGACATCTGAATGGTGCTACCAAATAAGCAAAATTCAATGGCAAGATCTAACAAACACACTCTGAGATACTAGAATTATTTCACATAATACTAGTTTATCATACAATTCTGTGTGTTCTAGATACAAAATTACAACAGCTACAATTGTAAAACCGATAATAAAGTCTCGAAACAGAGAGCAAAGATTCCAATCAAGATCATAACAGAGACAAGACTTACCCCAAGCGACAGTACATTCTTCACTGGTAGCACTAGCCTGATTAGCTTGACACTCGATGCCTAACAACAACCAAAACACAATAACAAAATAAGCTTAAACATTCGAGAATTCAGTAAATCTCTGGATTATCAAACATCATCGTTACAAATTCCTCAATCAATTGATTCTTCTAAAACTTACAGAGATCCATGATGTGGTTTCTGCAGATCGCACAGTTGTCGACAACGATATCTGCAACCAAAACAAAGATCAATCAAAACTCGACCTAACCAAAATTAACATCGTAAAACAAACATCGGAGGACATATTCAAGGTAGTATTAAGGATTTTAGCGATTACCCCAAGCCCAGAGAGAAACGGCGCTCCACTTTTTAATTTCGAATCGCTTAGGTTTCTTGGTGGAAGACGAAGCACTGCTAGAGGCACCTCCGGCGGGAAGCATAGGAACGTCGGAGTCGAGTGTCGCCATTAAATCTCTGATCGGAAAGGAAAATTAAAACCCTAGAAAAGCCGAAGAAGAAACTCAACACGATTGAGAGAGCTCGCTGGGTTCTTGTAGAGAAGACGGAAGAAGAAGAAGCAAGCCAGAGAGAGAATGAATGAATAATAGAAAAGCTGCTTTGGGCTTTGCCTTTATATATCTAGTGGGCCTTCGAGGGAAATTTTATTATTTCACGTAATTTTCCATTTTAAGTTTTCCCTTTTTACATAGGTATCTTAAAGAACTTCTCTTTATATTATCTAAACAAATTTTGCTTTTTTTAATTGATAAATTAATTATACTTGATAGAAATTAATTTTTTTCAAACTTTCAATACAAATTATGGGAAGATATCTAACTTAATATATATATATACTAGTCGGTTGTCCGCGCTACGCGCGAGAGTTTATTATGTTGTTTATTAGTAATTGGTTCATATTTTATTTTCTATTTATTTTTTTCACTATACCATACCTTACTTTTTAAAAACTTTGATTGTGTTTGTATAGAAAAACTATTGAGTTTTAACTTCATTAGTTGTTGAGAAATTAAGTGTGTATAGTATAAGTCGAAGTGTGAGCGTAAACGGAAGTGCGGTGAAAAATCATTAAGAAACGTGTGCTATTAGGGTTTTTACCAAATATAGATATAGATATTAATATTTTGGGCCTTTTATATGTTACCATGAAATTTGAACATGATTTGTGGGTTTCGTGCGAATTGTTGTATTTTTAATTGTTTACATTATCTCTTTATATACTGTCATAATTTATTTTTTGTTTTATGTTTTTCTTTTTTGGATTTGTTGTAATTATATCTCGTAAGGATCATTTTTATACTATTATATATTTGTTTCTGATTTTATGTTATATATATTTTTTTGTTGTTCATATAGAACAATTTTTAAATTTAACATATTAGTATAATTTACTTTATATTTAGTTTATTTCATTTAATAATGTTTTTTATTTTAATTTTCAATTTTTATGAAATATCGTTAATTTTTTATTTTGTTTATTAGTTTAACATATGTGTTGTATTGGAAAAAATTAATTAAATTCATATTGGAAACTTTTAAAGAAATATTATTTTTATTTTTACGTTTTTATACGTTTAAAAAAAATGAGAATTGATGTTTCGGTACGACATATCTCATTTATGTTAGAAAATTTTGTGAGACATAAATTAGATCGATTTATATTCTCAAAATTTCTTACTTTCTTTTCTATTCCCGTTAAATCCCATTATATTTTGGTTTACATTGTGTAAATATAATCATATATATATATATATATATATATATTTTAAACATTCACTAAAAACTATAATCTACCATTTATATATTTCTTAGTATAATCGATAATTAGTAAAAAAATTTAACTTTTAAACAAATCATCTTTTTTAGTTTTATAATCTCTAATATAAAAAAAACCTTTCATATTCCTTTTTGAAAAACTTATTTACATAGGTTTAAATCTTAAAATTAAATGATAAAATGGTATAATTAATTTTAAAAATTAAATAATAAAATGAGGTGTATGATGATGTGGCTTAAGGAGAAGAGAGAAAAAGCTAACTTTATATATATATATATATACATATATGTATTAACACACATTTAATAAACAAAAAGTAGTTTTTTTGTGTGTAAAATAGAACATTAAAGATTGTGAACAAGGAACTGGATGAGAGAGTTTCCTTCCTCCTAAAAAGTAAAAACCCCATAACATAATTAAAACCTCTCTTTTTCTAGCCTGAGGATTTATCTAAAACTAAAAATAATAGTTTATATATTCTGGATAAGGATAGTTAATTGAAAACTTAGATTTTATAATTGAACTGTGCTAAACCGCTTGGTACGTCTTTTAACTAGACGACAAGGGAATTGTATATAAATAGAAAATTGAAGAGGGAAGTGTTTTGATTGAGGCGTTCTATAATTACTCTCTACTAGGTTGTGTAATTGATCCCTCCGGTGATCTCAATCAATGAAGAAGAGGAAGAATGAGAGGGAGGTGTGTGGGCTGTGGTCGTTGCCAGATGATGTGTTTCATTTGGAGTGCCTGACTCGGTTGTCGAGATTAGACCTCGTGGCCTTTGCGATGGCCTCCAAGAGGCACCGGAATGTAGCAGCGGCGCATATAATCAGCGATTTGAGGTCTCGGAGGAGGGGTTGCGTCGAGCTATATATGTACGTATTTATACACATGTATCCAGACCCAAGCCCACGGTGGTTCCTCCTCCACCCCGTGCAACGTCGGCTGAAACGGATCAATTTGGACTACTCGTATCCTGTAGCAGGATCCTGTTTCGTGTGGGATGAGTGGGGTGTCTTTGTTATCGGTGGACTCATCAACGGCAAACCCACATCGGAAGTCACCTTGTTTGACTTTACCGATCACACTGTGAGCCCCCTTAAGCCCATGAAGATGGCTCGAAGCGGAGCATCGATAGACGAGAAGAAGATTTACGTGTTTGGAGGATGCTGGGATGTCGCTGATTCCTCAAACTGGGTAGAGGTATATGATCTCCAAACCGATACTTGGGAGTTCTTGTCTGTCTTTACGCCTAAGATGCCCCTCAAAATCCAACAAAGTGTGGTGACGGACAACAACAAGCATGTTCACGCGGTGGATGAAGATGGTCAAATATTTAACTTCTCAGCAACTGAATGTGCGTTTGAGTCAGACGGGAGAAGAGAGTCTAACCCAGAAAATAGAAGCAATTGGCTTTTTGCTGTTGGTGACACGATTTTCTGCCGTGGTACAGGCGGGAAAATACTATGGCGTTTTCCATCTCAGTTGGATTGGAAGGAAGTGCATGGTTTGGAAGAGCTGCAGCAGCAACACTCTGGTTTTGATATCATCAAAATGTTGATTCACTCTAATGAGAGGATGGCCATCTTATGGGAATCCCGGACTCAAGGTCCTGAACACGTTTTGGAGCTTTGGTATGCCGAGATTTCCATGGTGAGAGGATGCATAGACGGTGTATTGGAGGTTGTGGGAACGATTGAGTGGTCCGGTCCTATCTTCTCAGACTCATCAGTTACTGGCCTGAACTTGTTATTTGCTGAGACTTTCTATCTCTGAATATTTCTCAATCATTAGTTTTTCACAACATTTTTTTAGATCAGCAGTCGAGGTACACGTTTTTTTTTTCTTTCAGAAAATGGAAATACACATATTTTTTTCTATGTATCACCAGAAAAGTTCACAAAAGTGAACATGATTACATCATTCAAGCTTATTGATTGAAGTTATGCATAAAGAAGAGTTTTCTATTTATTCAAAGATTCCAAGAGAATGTATAAAATATGTTACAAAACAGTGTCAAAATATTTGTCTACAAGCCATGTGAGTTACATATAGTTAGATGATGTATATATATATATATGCTTCATGACATCTGCCTCTGGTCTTTGAGAGCCGAAACTTTCTTCCGCAGTTCAAGATTTGATATCCTCTCCACTTCCAGAGCTCGTTCAAGCTACACAATCCCCGTTGATTTTGTTAGCCTCATAAAAGAAAACAATATCAAAGAGAAGGGTTTGGATTCGGTAAACCCGATGTAGGAAGAAAACTCTATAATGAAAATTTAACATCGCCTTTTCACGGATCATATTGCATCTCTAAACATGCCTAAGATTGTACCTTTGCAGCTCGCATACTCCATTCTCCAAGAATAGCTCTTAACCTTTCATTTTCTGCAACATACTGTTTTAGGAGTTTCAAAACACAAGATGATGAGTTAATTTCACAGATTCAAAAATATGTAGGCATTGCAAATTGTTCGATGCAAACGATTCCATGGTAAAGCTTTATTGTTATACATGATGTCATTATGATCCTCATGGAATGTATGTTTTGTTCTCATATGTTCTTGTGTTCATTAATAGACTCGAACCTGATTATTGGTATTCCGGACATGCTGTATCTCTCTATCTCTATCAGAGATCAGCGATCGAGCAAGAGTAAGTTCGGAATGGAGTTGATCCACCTGCAAACATACAATTTTCATTTAGTATCCTCCATTTAGAGATGCTACAAAGAATATTAGCCACGTAATGTCAATAAGCTAGATCTGTTTTCCACCAAATGGGTCAAGAGAGATGACAAAGAAAATTTAACCATGTGGGCTAGTTTATCATTTGTTAACCTAGCTTTACCTCAGCAGAAAGTGTTCGTAATTCCTGATCACGAGTAGCCACAAGATGCGCCAGATCAACCTGAAAGTTTAACATTTATCAATTGCAAAATTAAACATTCATCAACTGCAAATTAAAAGCGCAGTGGAAGGAAATACATGAATTTAAGAAATTTATTAAAAATGTTGTTAGCGTGTATCCACACTTAAAGCTCTGCTAAAAAGAAGTCAATAATTTGCAATGGAGCAGTTCAAACCTGTGGTGTGCTACTACCATTGGTTTCATATTTGCTTAAGGACTCCTGCAAACGCAGGATCTGAAACATATATATAAAGGAGAGGTAAGAAACTGATGAACATTAGAGAGAGCATTGAACTTAGGATTACTAGTACGAAATTGTATACTAGCAAGAAACAACACAAACGTCAAGATTCCGAAATGAAGTAGTCACTATTAAAATTCCATGTATTGTCACCTCTTCACTGAGATAATGGAGATTCTCACGCTGATATTGCAGTAGAGCCATTTGCTGATCAGAAAGGCGACCAGCTTCATGGTATCTATTTTTCAAGCAAACAAACTGAATACTTGAGAATTGTGAAAGCATTGCCATGTGCAATATAAGGTTGGGATACTAAATTTATTATTTATGAAGACTACGAATAAGGTTCTAGTGAGATTGTGAAAGTACCTCAATCCTTCCAAAGCAGCCGGTTGAAGGGGAGAATACAATGAATTTAAGACATCAGGCTGAGAGTTCACTGAATTATACTGGCGAACATAACCTACCAGTATTAAAAATACAGATAAGAAGAGCTGCATAATAACTTAGCTACAGAGTCTCTTACTAAAGAGACAAACAACTGGCAGAACAATGTAACAAAACAAGCCAACAGAATCCACTATGCTCTAGCCAATCGCTTTTTCAAAGAAACGGTATAGCAGGTTCTGCATGGTTAACAAAGGGAACAAATAAAAGGTTTTCATCCTGAAATCCAGAACAGCAATTCTTAAAGATACTTCAATGATCTCCTGATATTCAACCACAAACTAAAGCCAATTGTAAGAACCGCTTACATGATATGTATAATTAACAATTGTATGACCATAGAATGCAGATAATTTGATGGTGATTTAGCATGCATTTGAACGTGACAGAGCCGAGAGACAATGGAAATTATTTCAGTTAAGCTCTATGGGTCAGGTACATAAGAAATGAAAACTGATTCTAATCTGACAATAGGCAATCATGGCATGAAAAAATTAAGATAAAGAAACGTATCCAGCTGAACCTTGTGTATTTCATATATCTCGCAACAGAAAGTGAATCGTGGACACCGCTCTAGTTGAGATACTAAAGTAATGCTGAATGCATACCTAAAAGTGTGAATAAGATTTCCAGACATTATGCTTACCAACAAATACAATCATGAAAGAAGCGGCAGATATTGCTTCAACAGACATGATGAACCTGCAAAAACATTATGCTCATAAGTGTTTTTCGACTTTGCCAACTTTCCTTCATCAAGTTTTTTTTCAAAATAAAAAAATGAAAGAGATAGTCAACTTCCAAATACTATCTCTAGTCAATAGCAACAATATAAACATCTTGGAGGCATCTATAAAAGAATTTGTATATATGTTAAAAGTCAAATCTGTCAACCTGTGTGAATAAAAACAATTTGTCAATGAAGTGGAGTTTCATTATGTGATAGTAGTAATTTTCTTAGGAAAATTGGAAAATTTTGAAGGATGAAGTCAGAGTCTTCCTTTCATTCGTTTTATTGTCGAAGACAAAAGAAATAAAAACAGAACATGTGACCAACTGGAACAGAAAACTCAAAAGAATGTATAACCAGTTAGTGTATCTAAAAAGAAGGCTGCAGACCTCTGCACAGTAAAAATGGGAAGAACACTGACATATGGTCTCCACACCATGAAAAGCAGCATAGATGCAGTCCCTAGAACAAAACAGGGACACTTTATTGAGCGCAAGAAATAGATATTTGGAACAATATATGATTCGAGAAATAGCATTAAAAATTACCATATGCCATGATGGCAAATGGCAGACGAACCACATGTTTCAATTTCTGACTGAAACTGTAATAGCCCTGCAATAGAAGGATTTTTCAGAAGGTATTCAGATGAAACAACTACAACTACACAAGAGAGTATCGACTAATTTCTACATAGTTTGGAAAAGAAATGAAACGAGCAATCCGCCTAGTTAGAAGAAACATTACCTGCAAGCGTATTTTCTGGACCTGATTGACAAAGTATTGCTGAAACATACCTGTTGCAGAAAGTACTCATGATAATTTATACATATCCTGCAATATATTTTAGAACTCAAGAAACAGAAATAGAAATATGATACGTGAAAATAGATTTTAATGTTTTGGGACCATCCCTTTACGCCCAAGCTTTTAACAGTGAATTAACTTCATGGACTTGGGAAATTAGCCTGAACCTAATATAGGAAGGAATCCACAAGCATTTTCTTCCTTTTCTGTTTTAGTATAACTTTCATTATCTCAAATCAGTTTTTCTATTGAGTCCTTATCTTTGATTTAGAATAATCAATTGACAAATTGACAAGGCAGTAGTTTATCACAATTTAGTTTGACTTGCTTCTAAACAAAGATTGTAGTAAGAAGCTGAAAGGGAGTATTGTAATGACCTGTTAACATCAATAGAGCAACATTGCAGCTGCAGAGTATCGATGGGATAAGAGAATCTACAGACTGAAGTATCCACGGTGCTCCTGCAGCTAAAACAGCATAACCTGCCTAAATTTAACAAAGAGTAAATATAATAAAGTCAGGCATTGATGTTTCTCATTATGATTAAAAGGAAAGTTACAAACACGCTTGTGTTAAATGTCAATGGTGGAAACCATAAGAAAAGAAAATGGAAGGACTTGCCAGTATGATCAGATAAATGCAGCTTCCAACAAGACTTCTAGATTCACGATGACCAAAGAGAGGAGCTTCATGTAATATGTCAAGAAACCTACAATCACAAAAACAGTAGTGAAACTAGATGATGAGACAATAAAAGGACACAAAAGGGCATGGGAATAAAACATAGAGAGAATTGAGCAATCTGCAAAACACTTTGTTGAAGAAAAGAAAAAGCAAGAGCTGCATCATTTCAACCTTTTAAAGAGAAAATTCTATGGAGTTTAGGGACTAAAATGAACAAACTTAGAAATCCATAGCTCGAAAACAAACAATGGAATCAGAAAGCAAAAGAGTTGAGCTTTACATAGCATTGTCTTGCCCCGTCGTAGGATTGAGGGAAGAAGTGCGTCGATCGTTGGCCATTTTGGTTTGGGTTTTCTTCTTACGCTTGTGGGAATGAAGACTGTAAATCTCAGAGACTTGTAAAGAGAGAGAGAGACGATTGTTTTTTCTTGCTTGAGATTAGGGTTGAATCATATTCGTTGCCCCAATGTAAAGATTTGAGAGATGTGAAGAGTAAGAAATAGAAGAAATCTCCACTATGAAACCATCATAAGGATTGGAATGTTTGGTATAACGCTCGCTCGCTCTTGATCCGAACTACCAGTCAATATCGCTGTCACCGTTGCTGATTGGTCTTTTAAAAAAAAAAAAAAAAAATAGTGGGTTTTGCTGGGCCTAATCGCAATTTAGAACTTGGTTAGGACTTAGGATTATCTGATTAATTTTACACTAATGTTAAATGTAACAACATTAATTAGAGTAGACCATCATCTAACATAGTGATTTGCACTTTGATTCACATAAGATAAGATTCGTATACAAATCACACTAAATTTTGTTGATGCCAATTTTTAAGCTGTGAAAAGAGAGCATTTGTTTTATGTTTTAATCATTTATCTTGTACCTTCTTCTATTATGAATTCTAAAGTAATATTTTACTTGTTTAAGAGCTTTTTAGTGAATTTTGATAAAGAGTTTTAATATCCGGTTTGTTATCATGTTATGTCCTTTTTTTTTTTGTGTGTTTAACAACGTAATCATATTTTGCTCACACAAATTATCATACTATATGATAAGATCTTGGATAACATAGTCTATATAGATGTGCGAAAAGTAGCATATTCCGACAATTGTGATTAGAGAAATTTGATGTTTGCAAATTAATGTACTTGCATATTTTATAACATCTTATGTTTCAGTTGTTGGCTATATAATTCACAATTGTCGGAATTTACTGTTTCGTCTAGTGATTGCTCTTTTTGATACATATTTCTCATTCACATATTTGACCAATTTAGTAAAGATTTATGAACATACTCGTAATTTTATTAAAGATTACCTGATTTGGCAGAAATATTTATTTGCATTTACGATACATAATTTTGATATTTTTACCTTAATAACATAGAAAATGATGGCGTGCAAGCATCGTATATTTAAAACTCTAAAGTAATTAATTTTTTTTGGAAAAGATTGAATGATCGAAGTCGCATCTGACTGTGAGATGAGTTGTGCGTAGCTCCACTCCAATGGTGGCTTGGCTTCACAATGTCGACTTCTTCTTCTTCTTTTCCTAGCTTCCCTCGCACCATCGTCTCCTACACTGTCACAACTTCACTCTTTATCGTTATCTTCTTAAGTAGCGTCTTCCTCTTCACTAGACGCACTCTCGAACCTTCTCTCGAACTTTACCACGCCGCCGACATCCCTCTCTCCGCCGCCGATCCACCCCCTCCCACGCCCCGCCTCTCTCAAATCGAGGATCACGATGGTGACGTCACTGTGAAAGCAAATCCAAAGGAGGAAGGCGATTCGCGCAGCGGCGATGACGTAGCGGTGGCGGTCGAGACTGAGGTGAAACTGAAAGATGTGGAAGATTCCCGCAAGGCGAAAACTGAGCCGGAAAAAGAAGGAGGAGGAGGAGGAAAAGAAGAATCTCGCGTCGAAGGTAATGTTGAATCTGTGGAGCAGGCGGTGGTTGAGAAGATGAGAGGCTGCGATTTGTACAGGGGATCTTGGGTTAAGGACGATGATGAATATCCATTGTATCAGCCTGGATCGTGTCCTTATGTGGACGAAGCTTTTGATTGCCAGAGGAATGGGAGGCGTGATTCTGACTATCTCAATTGGAGATGGAAACCTGACGGTTGTGATCTTCCACGGTATGATTGATGATAGCTTTTCGAATTGATCAGCATTTCCATTTCTAAGTTCATGATTGCTGTCGAACTTTACGTTTAAAATGAAGTTAGGGACTGCACAATGAACGCTTAGTCGTTGATCATACATACTGGCACACTTACTACCATTAGCAAAAACACCTCATGTGAAATTTCTGTTTGTGCATAGAATGTATTTATCCCCTTTTTTATTGACTTTCCAATCATAGGTTTAATGCTACAGACTTCTTGGTGAAGCTACGAGGTAAAAGTTTGTTGTTGGTTGGAGATTCTATGAACCGTAACCAGTTTGAATCAATGCTTTGCGTTCTCCGAGAAGGTTTATCCGATAAGAGTAGAATGTACGAGGTTTATGGCCATAATATTACAAAGGGGAGAGGCTACTTTGTATTCAAGTTTGAAGTAAGTCCTCTCTTCTTCTTCACTGCTTGTAATTTGGTGTTCCAATAGGCAACAGAATTGTTATATACTTATGTTTGAATATGGATTCTCTCTAAAGTTTATTAGAACTTCCAGTAGCGCCACCTTTTGTGACCATCAATTTTGTTGTATTATTTGCCATATTTTGGTTTGAGATAGTATCCATTTGTGTGCATCTCTTTCTCTTGATTAAATTGGTCTTGGGGTTAAAATGTGTAATAATGTCTGACAGGATTACAATTGCACTGTATCGTTTGTGAGGTCACATTTTCTTGTGAGGGAAGGAGTTAGAGCTAATGCTCAAGGAAACACTAATCCGACTCTTTCGATTGATCGCATTGACAAGTCACATGCTAAATGGAAGCGTGCTGACATTCTTGTCTTTAACACTGGACATTGGTGGGTTCATGGAAAGACCGCCAGAGGGTATGATTCTTCCTTTCTTGCTTTATCACAATTTTTCACAAATGTTGACTTAATCAGAGAAGTAGGTTAAATTTACTTTTAACTATAGTATTGATTAAAGTTACATAATCTTCTGAATTTCTCATCTTAAAGCTTGATATTACTGGTGCATCCCATTCTACTTGACTAATTTTGTTTCATGACATCTCTCTAGAGAAGGACAAGCCACTAATGGTATATGACATGGTGAATAATACTAGTGCAGGAAAAACTACTACAAAGAAGGTGACTACATCTATCCGAAATTTGACGCGACTGAAGCATACAGAAGGTCGTTAAAGACTTGGGCAAAATGGATTGACGAGAATGTGAATCCCAAAAAGCAGCTTGTATTTTATCGCGGATACTCCTCTGCCCATTTTCGGTAATCCTTGATCTTTTGTTTACCTTCCGAAATCTTTTATTAGCTACAAACGTGTTCATTTCGGTTTCAGCCCTTATATTCAGATTTGGTTTAGTTTGTTTTTTACACCACCTGCATGTACTCTTGTTGCGGTTTTCTTACAAAAGAGTTAAGTTCTTCAGCATATTCTGTGTCTTGACTTGAACAGGGGAGGTGAGTGGGACTCGGGAGGCTCGTGCAATGGGGAGGTGGAACCAGTAAAGAAAGGTTCAATCCTGGATTCCTATCCTTTGAAAATGAAAATAGTCGAAGAAGCAATAAAGAAAATCCACATTCCTGTGATTCTCCTAAACGTGACTAAGCTGACTAATTTCCGCAAAGACGGACATCCGTCAATCTATGGTAAGACCAACACAGAAGGTAAAAAAGTGTCCACACGGCGACAGGATTGCAGCCACTGGTGTCTGCCAGGAGTTCCCGATGTTTGGAACCATCTTATATACGTGTCTTTGCTCCTGCAACCACATTCCTAAGCTCATACATCAACAAAATTAGATTAGACCAAATTCAGTAGTCTTCCCTGTTATTTGCAGTGACATTAAAATTTTGTGTAATTTATCGCTCTTGGAGCTGAGAAGTAGTTTTTTTATTTTTTTTTACGTAGAGGTGCGAACAAACGGAAATGGGACGATATTTCATTTTTCATGGCAAAATTTTTCTCATAATTCCCAAATTAGCAAACAAAATCTCAAAGACGTATTGAAAATTGAAACTAAAACAAAAATATAAAGAAATACTAGCAGCAAAGCAACAAATTACTCTGACACTCCATTTTCAAGGTGACAGTTTCTTCTTCAAGTTCTTGATCGTCTTCACTCCTCTACGTGCAGCTTTCTTCTTCGTCTTCCTACTCTGGGTAGCTAACTCCCTTACTGGACCAGCCGGGATTCCTTTCTTCAGAGCACTTCCTCGTGGCGTAGCAGAGGGAGGCAACCTCAAATCTTGTGGAGGTAGAGGGCAATGAGGTTTCCACACCAAATTGTTCTTCATTGCAAATCTTACTCTCTTTGAGCTCTTCTCACTGCTCGGCCCGGCTAAGCTCGTTTCTGCTGCATCTCTGTTAACAGTAGTATCTTGCACTTCCCCTTTGTTCTCTCTTTTCCTCTTCTTGGACTTTTTGGTTATTGACACAGGTTCTGCTACTTCACAGACACTTGCAACCTCACTTTTTGACGGACTCATTTCAGATGCAATCTTCTCAAACTCCTGTCGAAGATCTGATATCATTGTTTCATCAAAAGCTTCATCTTTGTTAACATCATCCATAACAGTATCCTTCTTGACACTGCTTTTTTTAGTATTTGAACATTTCTTCAAACCCTTTTTCTTCGAAGAAGATCCATTTGCAACAAGCTTCTTAGACTTAGAAACAGCCTTTGATTCAGACTCAGACACTGGAACCAATTCAGGCACTTCACCTTTGCAAGGACGAGAAGTTTCTGTGATAGAAACTTTGATACCAGAACTCGACATATCCTTCTCCAACTGCAAGAAGTCCTTGTGAAGAGCAAATATTGCTTTCCTGTTACCCTGCTGGATATCCGGAGAAGAACCCATCTCATAAAACCTCTTTGCAAAGTCCATAGACAAAACAATAGATCCCAAAATCACTACAATGTCATCCTCAGGCACTTCATCATTCCCAGATATCTTAATTAACAGCAGCTTCTTCCCCATCTTAAGCAACTCATCAAACAAATTACTCTTAATCTTCCCAACCAACATCTTATCCTTAACAAGACCCAAAATCGTCACAAAAGGAGTGAATAGAAGTTCCAAAACCTCCTTCCTTAGTGGAAGAAACGGCCTAAGTTCCTCAACAAAAGCAGAAGCTATATGATAGTTAACACCATTCCCTTGAAACTTATCATCAGCAAGAAACGTCCCATCAAACAAAACACTCATCAAACGACGAGTTAAATCCAAATCCCACGAATTGCTATCAAGCAGAGAGAAGAATCCGCTCAAAAACCTTCGAATCAAGAGGTAGAACTTATCTAACCTGAGCCGATCAATACGTGACCACTCACGACGCATGGTGAACAAGAACACGGTGAAGTAATGGACAGACAAAGGCAGAGGAAAGGAGTGAAGAGCAGAGGAGAGACGATCGATGAGTTCGGATTGGTAAAGAGACTTATCGGCATGCCAGATGCAGTAGAAGATTCCTTGCCATAGCTTCTTCATGTCATCATCGGAGATTTCAGTTTGTTCAGGGAGCCAAGTACGAAGAACGGTTCGTAAGGATCTGTCGCGGGTGCTTTGTTTACAAGAAGCAAGCTTTTTTATCAGCGATTTGCATTCTTCTTCAATGGGTAATGCTTCCTCTGCCTGCGCAACTCGGTTGCGTTTCACCATTGTTATCGATTATGAGAAAGAAATCACAAAATCGAAAGGAGGTGACGGCAGATTCTGGGTGGGGAAGTTGAACAAGGGGATGTAATAAGGGTTAGGGTTTAGTTTTTTGTTTCTTTCATTTTATTTGTTTTTACATTTTAACCCTCATCTTTAAATTTATTTTCTCTTTTTTCCAAATCATTTTGTGGGTATATTTCTGAAAATTAAATAAATAAAATTCTTTGGAAAGTAGTGCTTGTTTTATTTTATTTTTGATAAAAAGAGTAGATCTTGTTTTTAAAATTTTGAAAAACGAACATATTTTCTTTATCAATATATAAATGTATCTTTGTGGAACAAAAGTCTTTTTCAAAATGTTCCCATGGCATAAAAAGAAATTGACGTTGCATAATATTAGTAATTGAAATATTCTATAGTTTTTTCCGATGTTTTTCTATAAAAAAAAACTTATGTATTCAATTTTATTTTATTTTGGTTTTGCTTAAAAACATATCAGCATACAATTTTAATGTAATCTTTGTTCAAAAATGAGATTCACGTTATAAATTTTAGTTGGATTTTAGATGGGATCTGAGATATAAATTTATTGGAACATTAATTCAAAGGTCTAATGAGCACGAGGGTTATAATACCACTAAAATAATCTTTGAAGGCCAATTACATGAAATAGTCAAGAATATAAGTATTTCAAAAAAAAGAAAATTTGAAAAAGTACAATGAATTTAAAAACAAAGGGAAGAAGAAATGTAAAAAAGGGAAATGGAATAAAACAAAGTTGTCTTTGTGTTCTTCGTCTCCTCTGACGCGCCCCTCCCATCCTCCCTATCCACCATTCTTCTCTTCTTCAAAGCTTCGACAAGAGACGACTTTTCTTTACTCTCTCTTTCACGCCAGGTGAGTTCTACTTCTTCAATTCTGCATCTTCTCTGCTTTCTCGTCTCGTGTCAATTCAGTGATGTTGGGTTGCTTCAATTCGATTATTGTTTAGCCAAATTAGCTCCGATCGTTAGTTTGAATTGGATCTATCTCACATGAAGCATAGAGTTAAATTTCTTATTGTAATCAAAATTTTGAGTTGCTTATTAAATTCATGGGGAAATTTTTTTGGAGAATTGCAAATGTTATGGCGTGATTTTTGCTTAGAATTTTTTAGTCATTAGACCTCATCGAGATGAGCTTGTAGAAGAACTCACATCTGTGTCTATCTTCGCTTGAATGATTTTGTAGAAGTCAAAGCTACAGTAGAATTATGTGAGAGGACGACTCCTATTCTCTTTGTTTGGAAACTGATGTTGCCCAAGTGTGACATTTCTTCTCATGTTTAATACTCCCTCTTGAATCCTACTATTGATCCCAAGTTTCTTTCTTTAGGGTTTCAAATTTCAGAATCCCAATTATTCTGTTCGATGAAAATAGTTGTGTACTTAGATAACTTAATGGGTTTAGTTATCTATGTCTATATATCCTACATCTTGCATATGCTGGCCACGTTAGCACTTCCTTTTGTTCTTGTATCCCTTTCCTTAACCGTTAACTCAGCTCCTTTTGCTTCTCTCTATTCCTGACCTGAAAAAATTGTTTCTGCAGATTTTTGGTTCTTTTCTTTGGATGCTCAGTGTTTTCAAAGTACAGAATGAGTAAAGTTAACAGTGAGGAATCTTCTAGTAGCCAGAAATTGTTGAGAGAGGTTGAGACGATAAGCGAGGCTCTGTATGTGAATAAGAATCCTAGGAGTTCAGTTTCTGGTCCTAATAAGGCTCCAACAAAACCTTTGAGTCGTAGCCAATTGGCTGAGCCTCAGAAGGAGAAGAAATCGTTTTGGAATTGGCCTCTCAGAGCCCTTTCCCATGTCCGAAATCGTCGATTCAATTGTTGTTTCTCTGCCCAAGTTCATTCCGTTGAAGGGTTACCTCCGACATTCCAGGATCTTTCTCTCACTGTGCACTGGAAACGTCGTGATGAATCTTTGAGCTCTCGTCCTGCAAAAGTTTCAAATGGAAGAGCTGATTTCAAGGACAAGCTGACACATACATGCTCGGTTTACGGAAGCAGAAGCGGACCACATCACTCAGCTAAGTATGAGGCTAAGCATTTCTTGTTGTATGTCTCTCTGGTTGGATCTCCTGAGGTTGATTTGGGAAAACATCGAATGGATCTCACTAAGTTGCTTCCACTGACACTTGAGGAGTTGCAGGATGAGAAAAGCTCAGGTAAGTGGTCAACAACATTTCAGTTGACTGGAAAGGCTAATGGTGCTACTTTAAGCATGAGTTTTGGGTACACTGTTGTTGGGGATACTCGTAATCCTGCTTCATCAGGTAGCAATCAGAATTTACGCAGTTCTTCAAATGTAAAACAAACTAGTAATAACACAGGGTTGGCAAGAACTATCACTGCAAAGTCTAGTCCTGGGAACGGAAAGTCCACGTCTCGGCGTTATGATCATGGCATTGTTAACAAAGGATCGCATCCGACATCCCAAAATATGGAGGAAATTAAAGATCTTCATGAAGTTTTGCCCGCTGCACAATCTGACCTGGTCAATTCTGTTAACATTTTGTATCAGAAATTTGATGAGGAGAAGATGGATCCAACAACTGAGTCTCAGTTCGAATTTGATGTTGTCACTAAACACATGGAACCTGTTGAGTCAGTGTCTTGTGGCAAAGAAGATGCAAATGCACTTCAAAGCGAGCCTCTGGTGGCCAGGAATGAAACTGGTGATCCTTTTGAGGAAATAAAGAAAGCTGGCGAAGTTCCTACTGCTGGAAGTGACCAAGTTGGTACAGAAATATCCTTGGTAAACGGTAATGAAACTGATACTCCTTTTGAAGAGATAAACAAAGCTGGTGAAGTTCCTACTGCTGTAAGTGACGAAGTTGGTACAGAAAAATCCTTGGTAAACGGTAATGAAACTGATACTCCTTTTGAAGAGATAAACAAAGCTGGTGAAGTTCCTACTGCTGTAAGTGACGAAGTTGGTACAGAAAATTTGCCTCCACAAGAGCCCTTGGTAAATGGAAATGAAACTGATGTTCTTTTTGAGGAATTAGTGAAAGCTGGCGAAGCTACTATTGCTAGAAGTGAAGAAGCTGTTGAGATTGGTACAGAAAATGTGCCTCCAGAAGAGGGGAACAAAGTTTCCCCAAAGGACGAGGAAAATGTTGTTTCTCAAGATGCTGATGAGGTCATAAACGGTGAGAGAGACTTGAAGGAAATGATCATGAAAGATCTTGAATCAGCTTTGAAAAGTGTAGAATTGTTGGAAGCAACGGCGTCAGAAGATGAGGAAGATCAAGAAAATCATGGAAACGGAGATACATGTTTTATAACACCAATTAAGGAACCAGCACCATCAAGTTCAAGAGATGTGGTTGAATCTGTGGCAAGTGAATTCTTAGACATGCTAGGTATCGAACACAGCCCTTTTGGTCTAAGTTCTGAGAGTGAACCTGAGTCCCCAAGGGAGCGCCTATTAAGAGAGTTTGAAATGGAAACACTAGCGGCCGGTTCTTTGTTTGATTTTAGTATTGAAGCTAATGATTCCCAAATGGAATTTGATGAAAACTTTTCGAACGAGTATGAATCGGATTTTGAAGAAGGTTTTGATCTGGCATCCCTCGTTCATGATATAGAAGAAGAGTACCAATTGGAAGCTCAAGCAAGAGTTAGTGAACCCCGGGCCAAAATGTTGGAAGACTTGGAAACGGAATCACTGATGCGTGAGTGGGGTATGAATGAAAACACATTTCAGAACTCTCCACCTCACAATGGCCGTAATGCATTTCATCCAGCTGATTTTCCAATGAAAGAGCCATTTGATTTGCCTCCACTTGGAGATGGATTGGGTCCAGTTGTGCAGACAAAGAATGGAGGATTCTTGCGGTCAATGAATCCTATACTGTTCAGGAATTCTAAAGCTGGAGGCAGCTTGATCATGCAAGTGTCAACTCCAGTGGTTGTGCCTGCTGAGATGGGCTCTGGTATCATGGAGATACTTCAGAAATTAGCCACTGCTGGAATTGAGAAGCTCTCTATGCAGGCAAATAAAGTAATGCCGTTGGACGATATAACAGGGAAAACCATGGAAGAGGTGTTGTGGGGAACTTCACCTGCAATTGACGGTGGGGACAGGTTTGCATCAATCTTATCATACTCGTTTTGATTTCTGGAAAGGTTTACATGAACATTGTGCTTAACACAAGTTTTTTTTGTTGGGTGTATTTGGTTTATCTACTCAATGCAGGGATCATATTTCAGAGCATGAATTTGATGATGCAGCTGGTTTTGTGAGGGGAGGTGAAAAACGAACATCATTTGCAGCTAAGCCAAAAAAGTTTGGTTCAAGCTCTGGTAACAATAACTCTGACTCGGAGTATGTGTCACTTGACGATCTTGCTCCTTTGGCTATGGATCAGATTGAAGCACTTTCTTTGGAAGGATTGAGAATACAATCAGGAATGTCAGATGAGGATGCACCCTCGGACATCACTGCACAATCTATTGGAGATATCTCAGCCTTCCAGGGGAAAAGTGGGTGCGTTGGTCTAGAAGGTGCCGCCGGGTTACAACTTTTGGACATAAAAGATAATGAAGACGATGATGATGATGGTTTGATGGGACTCTCCTTGACTCTTGATGAGTGGATGAAGTTAGATTCAGGAGACATTGGCGACGAAGACGAAATAAATGAGCGAACTTCCAAAATTTTGGCAGCCCATCATGCTAACCCACTAAACTTTATCCGTAAAGGATCGAAAGGGGAGAAAAGAAAGGGAAAAAAGGGAAGGAAATGTGGTTTACTGGGAAATACCTTCACCGTAGCACTAATGGTCCAGCTCCGAGATCCACTAAGGAACTATGAGCCAGTAGGAGCTCCTATGCTTTCTCTTATCCAAGTTGAGAGATTGTTCGTCCCTCCAAAGCCCAAAATCTACAGCACAGTGTCAGAGCTGAGGAAAACCGATGAAGAGGATGATGAAGCGGAGGCAAGTGGTGCAGTCAAAGAAGAGAAAACAATTGAGGAACAAGGAATCCCTCAGTACAAAATCTCAGAGGTACACCTTACTGGTATGAAGAGCGAGACCAATAAAAAGCCGTGGGGAATCACGAGTCAGCAGCAGCAGGTGCAGTCTGGTTCAAGGTGGTTGATGGCTAATGGAATGGGTAAAGGGAACAGCAAGCTTCCTCTTATGAAACCAAAACCGGGTTTGACAAAGTCTGGTGATAAGTTGTGGAGTGTCTCTGGTTCTGGGTCTAAATGGAAAGAGCTTGGGAAAATGGGAAAATTGAACACACACGTGCGAAATCCGAATGTAATAATGCCAAAATGAAATTAACGAAGTAGCATGCGTCTGCTGTGTGTTTTTTGATGCTAAGTAAAGGTAATGTTATGTTGTGTTGTGGATTGTGTAGATTCACTTCAAATGTTGCATCTGTTTTGTATCATGTCATGTGTGTCTAGTTTAGGTTTTGCGGATCAAACTAATCCCTGTTTGTGGTACAGTTAAGAGATCAATGGAACAAATTACAAACGAACAAACAAAGATCCTTTGAAGCTTTCCTCTTTTTTCTTTATCGGACATAGCTAACTATTCCTGCTACGACATGTTTGACACTAAGGTACGGTATTCTTGAAAGCGGAATGTTTAACATGCACTTGGATTATTAATAAAAGTTGTAACACAGGTCTGAAAGGTTCAGAAAAAAAAAAAAGAGAGAAAATGAAACTTGAGAACATTGATAGGGATAAGTTTTCCTTGCATACTGAAACAGAAACCAGGTGCAGAATATCACCTCCCAAGTGCATGAGACTCGAACAACCACATTTTTGAGCAAATCAGAAAAGCTCAGAAGCTTCCGCCACGAAGACGAAGAACCAAGTGAAGAGTAGACTCCTTCTGGATGTTGTAATCTGCAAGAGTCCGACCATCCTCAAGCTGTTTCCCAGCGAAGATGAGTCTCTGCTGGTCTGGTGGGATCCCTTCCTTGTCCTGAATCTTGGCTTTAACGTTATCAATAGTGTCTGAGCTCTCAACCTCCAAAGTGATGGTCTTGCCGGTAAGGGTCTTCACAAAAATTTGCATACCACCACGGAGACGAAGCACGAGATGCAGGGTAGACTCTTTTTGGATGTTGTAATCAGCGAGGGTACGTCCGTCTTCAAGCTGTTTCCCGGCAAAGATGAGTCTCTGCTGGTCTGGTGGGATCCCTTCCTTGTCTTGAATCTTTGCCTTGACGTTATCGATTGTGTCTGAGCTCTCAACCTCCAAAGTGATAGTCTTGCCGGTTAGGGTCTTTACAAAAATCTGCATACCACCTCTCAGACGAAGCACCAAATGGAGGGTGGACTCTTTCTGGATGTTGTAATCAGCCAAGGTGCGACCATCCTCTAGCTGCTTACCGGCAAAGATAAGCCTCTGCTGATCCGGTGGGATTCCCTCTTTATCTTGGATCTTAGCTTTGACATTGTCAATGGTATCTGAGCTCTCAACCTCTAGGGTGATTGTTTTACCAGTGAGAGTCTTCACAAAGATCTGCATACCACCACGAAGACGAAGTACAAGGTGAAGGGTCGACTCCTTTTGGATATTGTAGTCAGCAAGAGTCCTTCCGTCTTCAAGCTGCTTGCCCGCGAATATAAGCCTCTGCTGGTCCGGTGGGATTCCCTCTTTATCTTGGATCTTGGCTTTGACATTGTCAATGGTGTCTGAGCTCTCAACCTCGAGGGTGATGGTTTTGCCAGTCAAGGTCTTCACAAAGATCTGCATACCACCTCTTAAACGGAGAACCAAATGGAGGGTGGACTCTTTCTGGATGTTGTAATCGGCCAAGGTGCGGCCATCTTCAAGCTGTTTACCGGCGAAGATCAATCTTTGCTGGTCCGGAGGAATGCCTTCCTTGTCCTGGATCTTTGCCTTAACATTGTCGATGGTGTCAGAGCTCTCGACCTCAAGAGTGATGGTCTTACCAGTGAGTGTTTTCACGAAAATTTGCATCTGGGGAATGATAGAGAGCAAACAGGTGGTAAGTCAATACGCTAACATAAACTTGAATTAGACGAAATCAAAAATAAACCAGAGAACGGATCTGCTACTAGCGATCACATTACATATAAGAACTGACGAAAAACTTGATGCCATGGACAGAGGATCGAGCAACAACAAACAAAAAAACCTTAAAAATGAATAGATCGTAGTCGAAAACCCTAATTTTCTATATTAAAAGAAAAATCAAGCAAGAAACTGAACAGATCTGAACGATATCATTACGTCTCATCACAAAATTCGACAAAAGGCAAAGAAAGATCACAAAATTCAACAACACACAAATCAAATCGAAAAGATCAGAACCTAAATCCACAACGAAACAACCAGTAGGGGAAGAAGCACGTATGTATGTACCTTGAATGAGAGAATCGTTCGGAAGAGATTTGAAGAGCGATCTAAAAGGGTTGGGAGAGATGAAGATGAATCAGGGAATAAGATATTTCACAAGAGGAACAACGCCTTTATTATATAGTGTGGTGACCAATAGGCCCAAAACCAAAATTGACTTTTTCATTAATAGGCCGAAAACCAAATTTGACTTTTTAATTAATAGGCCCAACACCGACTCTTTTATATTTTTAATAAGTAGAATTAAATGAAAATATAAAGTCCTTCTCAAGTGTTTGGTACTGTGTCGTTGGTCATACTCGGGAGTTGTTGTAGCTTCAATTAGAAGTTCGAACTGTGACCAGCTTTATTGTTGTTCAACCTTCATAATTCGGAAGAAATGGGAACACTATATTACGATAAACTGTTTAAATTATGCTAAATCTAGTGGATGATGAACCGTGATATAGTAGTTGAAAAGCCTCTTGAGACATATAACTGAAATATAATTATTAGTTATTACAATTCATCAAGCCGAAGAGATTGGGAAATGAAAACATTGAGACCAACAAATAACAACACACAAAAGGAACTCGAATAACAAAACACGCATCAACCTCATTTTGAGAAAGAAAAAAAATAGAGACAAATGAAAACAAAGAGGAGCTTAATTAGTTCCTCCAAGCACACCCTTAAGCTTCTTGACTTCTGCGTCGCTAAGGAACGTGGTGGCTTCAACGAGTTCTGAAGGCAAATCGTTTGCAAACAGAGCAAAGGATAGAATCTGGAGTCCAGGGGAGGAGCTTCCGAAGGCGACAAAGGCCAAGGCAGGGCCTTTCCCAGAGTTAAGCTGGAAATGAAGAAGCCCTTGAGGAAACACCATCGAATCGCCTCTGTTGAGTGTCTTCAAGTAAACTTTGTTAGCAGAGGAGATGAACCCGGCGCAAATGGTGCCTTGTACGACCACAAGGACCTCAGAGGCACCAGGGTGAGTGTGAAGAGGGATGACACCACCAGCGGCTAAGTCAAGACGAGCCATAGAGACACCAAGACCATTGGTACCTGCGAAAGCTGGCGCAAAGGCTGGAGTCACCGCGGCTTTAATGATGTTCGAAGTGTTTCCAGTTTTACCGAGGCCGGAAAATACAAAGTCATTTTCGGTAACCTGGTCAGGGTTCTTGCAAGAGTACCCTGCTGGGCTTTGAGGACCCTTTGGATCAGCTACACAAAAGTCTTGAACAGAGGCGAAAGAGATGGATGAAACAAGGGAGATGATGATGAAGAAAATAGGGAGCATCATCTTCATTTTTTTTTTGAAATGTTTTAGATAAGAGCTCTTCTTGAAGTTATGAGGCAGAAAGAGAGGCCGCCTGGTTTATATAGAGGCTTTACAAGATATTGATATGGTTAACGTGAGGATGGTCTTGAAGCAAGCAAGAGGGTTTTTTTTGTTGTTAGCACATGCATGCATGTGAACTTTGGGTGTACGTAAGTGGGAAAAAAAACCCCCACATGGCTGTGATGGGGTTCTATGTCAGAGATTTTTGTCAGTTTGGAGGATGGTCGCGGATGGTGACAAATGGTTCGTTTTCAGTAAGATAAACCTGTTTTAAAAAGATTTAGTCTTACTAGCACAAGTGTAAAACTAAACTCCTGTTTTATGCAAACTGCAAAGTATAAATAAATCTAAGTATGCAAATGATGATTTCATACAAGAACTTTCCTTGCACGTTCAGACGTTCTCATATGAAAATAAAAATCATTGCACGTTTAGACGTTCTCATATGAAAATAAAAATCAAAAACATTTTACATGACAATGTGCCTTATACATACAATTCATCCATACATTGTTATTATCTTAATAGTTTCATATTTGAAGAATAACATGATTACATGAAATAAGTTCATGCATACTAAAGAGTACTTTGCTAGCTAGCCCTCTCATAATCTTCACAACTTCTAAACCTATGTGAAAGTGTGAATCGATCTCAATCTCTTGGTTCCACTAATTAAAAAATACTTTTTGATTAGTATGAACTGATGACATTTAGATTTAACCTGCTTCTACTTCTATCCGTTTTGAGCGACCCTCAAGGTACTGGATTACATAACAATTTAGCATTAAGATACACAATCGTTGTTTTGAGCGACCCTGCAAGGTTTCGATTCAGACAACTAAAATGGACAATAACGTTGTAAGAATTGGAAGCTTGAAGGGTAAAAAACTGTTAGAAGCTCTCAAAGGTCTTCTAAGGAAATCAAAAATATCTTAAAATAAAGGGGGACGCTTTTTTGATGAGATATTTTGCAAAAGAAAGGAATGGAGAAGAAGAAAGATAGATAGGAGGTGTGGTCCAGTTTTGGGTAAAGAGCAAACATGTCTCATCCTTCTCTAATTTGGACTCCTCTGCACAGTTACTTATCCTCTAACAACTAGCAAATTCGTGTGGCTCTTCATCGTTCCCTCTAGCTTAGGGCATTTACTATCTCCCAAGTCTTGTCCATAAAAAGTATAGGCAAAATAAGTACTGATGGCTTCGGCGGGTCACGGATTTTTGAATCCCAACTGTTGGAGAAGATATTTTACTTTCATATTATTATTTTTTACATTTTTACATCAATAAAACGACATGCTAAAGAGGAACAATCTTTTAATCTTGCGCTTGACATTGTAGCTTCTCCAAGAACCAAAGCAACAACAAGATGATAAGAGAATAAAGCTGCTTATGTACACTGCTTTTATATAGAAGTGATCCAATAAGCTCAATCCAACTATACACTAAAACTAGTCTAATATATGACTATATGAGCAAAACTGACTTCATGCATGGCCTTCTTGTTCTTGAGACTTATATAGTAGTACATTTATATCGTTGGATTTTCCATTAGTTTGTTTGTTAAGTGAGGCCAAGTATTTGGTTCATGCATGGGCTTCGTGAATTTGATAACATACAATATTGGACCTTTGGAATGTAGAAATAGATATACCCAAAACCAAGAAAGCCCACAAAGAACAAAAAAAACACATGCATACGTAAAACAAAACTAAGCTGTTAGAAAGGAAATAATTCCACGAAAAAATATTTACAAAATCTATTAGAGTTACAATTAGCATATCATTATGTAGAATTATAATTAATACAACGTCAAATATTTTAGAAGAAAAAGAAGATTAATCTAGTTATCAACATGACAACATTGTATGTATATATATTGATTTGGGAATAAGATGATCAAGAAAATAAAATACCGACGACAACAAGCGAAGAGTGTCAGAGAGGAGGCGATGAGTATGAAAAATATAATTCAGAACGAGCCATATGGTAAAATGACAAGTTGCAATTAATAATTTTGGGATTTCACATCACTTTTTTCTTTGCAGACAGGTCCACACCAATCCTACTCTGACATTTTTTTTAGTACCCAAAACTTCATATAATTTCGTTTTCGACCCCTCTTTTTATTTATTTTCCCATATTTTTTTTATGATAGCCTCTTCGTGACACAGACAACACAACATCAGTCTCTCTTCCTCTCTTTTAATGGGGACACCTCTCTTCTCTATAACCAAAACACACAAATAATAATGATAATAAAAGGAGCTTTGTTCACATTTCTGACTCTCTGATCGCTCAGTTGGATCCGTACCGTACAAAATAAACCCAGAAACCCTTGATCAATTATTACTCGAATTTTATTAAAATCGTTCTTCTTCTTTCTTTTCTTTTTTACACCATGAAAAATCTTTTTACCTCTCTATCTCTCCTCTGCTGAATTATTCTCTCTGACTTCTTCCCTTCTTTTATCGAAAAAAAGAATATCGTTTAGCCATTAATACGACTATATATTATATCTCTGAGAGATCTTTTGTGTGAGAAAAGAAAAGAAAAAGAAAAAAAAAGAAAGAACCCATCGGACATAAGCAGTAAATGTTATGTCGGATCCATCTCTCTGTTATACATATTTCGTCACTTTTGTATCTAGTCGTGTCCTTCCTACGAAATTCTCGTGATCATTTTCTTTTTTGTTGCCTATGTAATCTATTTGGTTATTATATACATCATTCACTTATCATTTATTTATCTCATATTGCTTAACCGATTCTTGTTTTTTAACCAGTGTGTGTGTGTAACATAATGTATTACAAATACGTATCGAGGATTTAATTAAGAAACTAGTATTGATCAGGACATAATAGAGGTATCTTAATCAAATCTTAAACTAATTTTTTTTTTCACAAATCTTAACCTATACCTGTCTATATACCTCTATTAAGAATGGTCAGAAGTATACAGCAAGGCTCGTATATATTAAAAGTATTATTAGTTTCGTAGGAAACAAAAAGTACAGAAATTTATATTCAACAGTAGCCTCGCTGACAACTATATATACGAACATGTTAAAATAATACTCCTACCAATGTTTATATTTAACTTTATTTAACAAAAAAATACAAATATATATGTGATTTTAATTAAAAACAATATAATTGTGAGGTTGAAAGTTAAAACAATGAAAGGTGTAAGATTAATATTGTTTTAAACAACAACAAAGCTAAAATTAAACAACTCTTTATTTTAACTCGTAATTTTATATGATCCGTATATCAAATACTAACAACAACCCACGATTGCATGCATTTTTTTTTTTTTTTTTTACTCAGGATAAATCCCCGGACCTATGGAAGGATCCGAGACTAATCCCTGGAGAGAGGGTATCCCACGGATAGGGTCTCTCCAATTTTTCAAATGGGTCTTAAACAAGAGGCCCATACCCATGTGGCCAAAGGGATAAAGTTAGCAATTCTGCGTCTGGGGAGAATCGATCCCTAGCCTAGACCAACAGGGCGACTCTTCCATCAGACTAGAACCACTAGCCCACCACCTCTGGTTAAAATCTTGTTTTGTTTATACTTTATACGTTCACATAATACTTGTATTGTATCTCATCGGTAAGAGTAAGACCCAAAAAAAAAAAAAAAAAAAACATATTCCATGAGAGGCTCGCTTAGTAATCATCACTTACAAAAGGACAAATATTCACAAGTTTATTACAAAAATCAAGAAAGAGTTTCTTCCTTTAAGATATAAAGAAGAAAAAAAGATAGTATCACTATTATAGAAAATAGCTAAGCTATAATGATGCCAACAAATATTAAATAAATAAAGAAGAGAAAATAGCTATCATAATAATAATAATAATGTTTAGAAAGCTAAACAACAAGGATTAGAACATGGATTTTTACAATTGCAAAAACAACAAGAACTAAGTCGTACCTTGGGACATTTAAAACAACAAGATGACCATCTGATCTTGCAAGTGCAGCTGCAGCATGAACTCTTCTTCTTTTTGCTCACACACGACGGTCGAGCGCAGCTGCAACTGCGGAAACAGGTGGGAATGCAGCAAGATAAGTCCGGACAAGAACAACAATCTCTGAAGCATGAACAGCTTGGACAACTCGGACAGCTCGGACAGCTCGGTCTCGGGCAACAACAAATGTTTGAGCAGCAAGACCCGTCGCAGCATTTGGACCCAATGCAGCTGCAAGATGTACAGCTGCAGCACTTGGGCTTCTTAAGATGGCACGAGCACTTGGATTGGCAGCAACAACAGAAACTCACTAGGCTCAAACACGGACCACTGCATCGGAGTTAGTTAATGAGCAATTAGTATCACTTTATTAAGATAGCAATCTAATCAGATCAAGCATTCCTTTGTCTTATGAAAATGTAATATTAAACATGTATAAATTCTTACCAGAGCCACTTCCAAAACCGGCAGGATCTTCGACTTTTCCGTTGTCTGTCCGTATGAGAAAAAAACAACACAACGGACTTGTAAGAGCAGGCAAAGTAAGAGAAAAAGTGAAAGTCACTAAGTGAACTAGATATATCATATATGCTTACGCAGGGATCATCGGGTCAGAGTTTGCAGCTACAAAATCAGAGACTCTGCACCACAATAATAACATATCCAATAAACCAAACCGAACAAAAAGATCATAAAATATTGTTTATAGAAAAAAACAGAGAGGTCATCTCACTCTTTGCAGCATCTAGAAGCTGGTTGTACACCTTCAACAAATTTAATTTCCCCCTGCTCATCATGAAAACATTTCGAAGATATTAATCAAGAAACTTCATTCACTAATTACCTAACCCAAAGTGTTAAGTTGCTTGTGAATATATAATTTCACAAGAAGACACTAATGGGACAAAACACACACAACAAAACAACAATAATTCATGTTTCAAAATCTCTCTCAGGAGAAACAAAGACAACATATATATTGTAACAAAAATGATAATTAATTTTCCAACTATATATATGCATGCATTATAGAGAAAGTAAACATGAAGATAGCAAATGGAGAAAGCAACGTGAAGAAAAAGGTGAACAAGAATTGGTCCTTTCAAAACGCAGATAGCAAATAAAGACAAAAAAAACTTTCACAAAAACTGATTACTATGTAAAAAAGCAAAAACAAATAAACAAAATCAGCAATGGAAGCTAACCACATTTTCAATATTTATATATATTTCTTTTGAGATATCTCTACTCTAAAATAATAATACTCAGCTTTCCCATACTACTTTGCTCTTCTAATGCTTCTCTTCTTTCTCTTTTTCTTTTTAAAAAATATATATACAATGTAGCTATCTTTGACTAAGCACTCACTTTCATAGTACACATGCACGAACACATACCGCCTCTCATACTCAGTGATGCAAACAACAACAGAGTAAATGGGCGTCTCATCAATCAATTCACACTACACTTACATGATCACATTTTTTTCTTTTCTTTTCTTTCAACTTCACATTTAACTTTTTATGTGAATCCTACAATATTACAGTTTAACAAAACAAAATCCTGATTAACTACTGAGATTAGAATAGAACTTAGTACTAATTAGATTAGTTTTTTTTTGGGTCAAACAGATTAGTTTTTAATCAATAGATCCGTTGAAACCCCGGCTTCAACTAACAAAAGATTTAAATGATTCAAAATTGCATTAAAAAAAAACAACCATGCATTAATTTTAAAACAGGCAAAGTCATATCGCAGAACATACGTAGTACTATAGTTTGAAATTAATTAAGATATAAATGTGTCTCTGATGACAGAAATTAAATTACTTCTTTTTTTGTTTTATGGGTGAGAGCATCTAAAAGAGAATAAACAAAAATTAAATGTCATATTGGTTTCTATAATAGCTGCCAAACATAACACAACGGTACAAAAGTCCAGACCAACCTGGATATAGTAGGAACCAAGTTTTTATTTTAACATAACCAAAAACAACTCTTTTCTCTCACCACACCACCAACAACAAAAAATAATAATTCGAATCGTTGTACTTAGACAAGAAAGCTTAACTAAAAAATTAATCAAATTATAGAATAAGAAATTAATATTAGTACCACCAATTTTTTTTTTTTTTTTAAAGAGACAAAATGAGTCATGAAATTCAAAATATTCGGACACTTCCTCAGAGTAATAAAAAATGACAGATTAAATTAAAGAAAGAAAAATAGTATAGTATATGGAAAGGAAAGGACTGTTTTATTTTTTTATAAAACAGATATAATAATAACTTGCCTCGAGAAAACCAATCTCTCTCTCGAGCATCTGAACTCTCGCCGCCTCTCTGCGTTTCCCGTACAAATCTGGATACTCCGGCGGAGACTTAGGACGAGGCGGCGGTAGTGACGACGGAGCAAGAGTCGTACCCACTTCACCATCAGCTTCTCGTCCTCCTCCAACACCGCCGCAAGAAGAAGGAGCAGACATTTTTCCAAGAGAGAAGTAGTAGCAGTTTTGGCTGATGATGTGTCTTTTGACAGAGAAACATGCAACTCTTGTAAGTAAGCAGAAAAGTAAAGAAGAAGAAGAAGAAGAAGAAGCGGCGAGGGAGTGAGTGAGAAAAACAATGCAAAAGGAGAAAGCAAAGAAAAAGAGAGAGAGAGAGAGAGAGAGAGAGATTAGTAAAGAAGCAGAGAGAGAGTAGAGAGAGTAGAGAGAGGAAGGGGGTGGGTGGCAGAGGCAGTAATAATAGCTTCTGACAAGGATTATTACTTACCTTCCTCTGCCCCTTTTAAGGCTCCGTGTCTCTCTTTTTTATTTTATTTTTTTTACAGTTTTTTTAAATATAAAACCACATTTTATAATTTTATAGATGTGAGTCGACGACGAGACGACCATAAACAAATGACTTCTTGTTCTAATACAGTTCATTTCCTAGTCTCTTTATTAACTCAGAAATTATTAAAAGGATTCTCATTTGTTTGCAGTTTTTTTTTAATAAAATTTCAGACCCTTTTTACACATTCTATTATCTAACACAATGACAAATTGAGTTACTTCTTTGTTGTTTAAAAAAAAAAATATTTAGGTGGGTTTTTCCGATGGTTTAATAAATTTGTGGTTTGGTCACATGGTTTATACGAATTAAATACACATAACTATATATAGTAGGATGACGAAGGTGATATAATAATTCGGATTGTACAGTAACGATAAAGAGAAGTTGAAGATGATAAATGCTATATTCTCTCGTTTGTACATGTTCACCAAATGGTCGCTCACTCTTTTTTTACTCCTTCTCAACTATAATGGTGGTTCTCTCTTTCTTATATAAACAAAATATGATTATCTCACCAATTCGCACAAATTAATTAAAAAGAAAACTTTCACCAACAAAAAAAAAAAGGAATATTGCATTTGTTGGTTTGTTGCATTGAGAGACTTTTTCCATATATGTTAGTATCTCTCATGTTAGCTTTAGAAATGCCCACTCACACCACTAATTTATCACGTTCCTGTTGTTTATTTATGTCTTAAGCTTTTCTTTTGACGAATGAATTCAAGTCTTAAGCTAGCTTTTGAAAACTTTTTTTCACAAAAATAGATACTTATAGCATCTTTGTTATTTAGCTTTTGAAGTCTTTGTCATAACACTTGGCATCTTTTATCAGGTATATCACTACAATGGACACTCATTAGCATCTTTATCTAGTAGTATATCACTACACAAGTGTTGAAGTGTTTACTGTATATATAAGGATTAAGAGGTCAAGTATCCTATATTGTAACTAGAACGCACGTGTGTGTAGGTGTGATGGGTGCGAGAAGCAGCCATACAGTGGATCCGGTGGTGAGCCGTAGATACTCATCGGAATCAGAGTCGGTGCTGGTCGTGAGGCGCCGACCGTCTATGGTGAACGGAGGAGGATTCGTGGTGAGTAATAGCAAACAACAAGTATTGTTTAGAGTTGATGGGTGTGGAGTTCTTGGAACCAAAGGCAAGATTCTCTTGAGAAATGGTGACGGCGATGATTTGCTTCTCATCCGCAAGATGGTAACTCCAAATACTATACAGTTTTTGGGTTACTCTATTTTGTATCCGTTGATGTATATTCAAGTTTTGGTCACAGGGAGGAATAGTGCAGGCACTGAACATGGTACACAAGAAATGGGAAGGTTTTGGATATGACAAAGATGGCACAGAGAGGTTGGTTTTCACATTGAAGGATCCAAAAGATTCATGTCTGGTTCACAACGGTTCAATCATAATTTTGGTACACGGCAAACCGAAGATAATACCAACAAATCACAACAACTATGTGGAGATCAACGGGTCTTTCGCAGAGAGAGCTTGTAACATCATGAATTCAGATGGCAGACCCATAGCTAAGGTAACAACAACAACAATTTACTCTAATAGTTTGATCTAACGTGATGATTGATGATGATGTTGGTGGCAATATATATATCCAAAAAATTCTCAAGTTTCTGACAAATTGGGTTTGAAAAAAAATGGATCGCATTGGGTAATAATAATTGAAGAGAGACAATAATAATAGTTATAAAAATGGGAAAAACAGGTGAGAAGAGATAAAGAGATGGAGGAAATGGTGGGGGACAACAATAAGGATCTGTATCATGTAATAGTCAAACCAAACGTGGATCAAGCTTTCATCATCGGACTCATCGCTATACTCGACTATATCCATGGCGAATCCACCATCTGTTGTTAAAAATCTTCTTTTATCTCCTCTATCTATTTATATCACATACTTTGATATATATATATCAAACCATACCAAAAATGTTGAAATGGTTTGTTTCGATCATTTACAAATTAAGTAACAGAGTTTGGGATTTGCTTAATCATAAAGATTTTAACATTCAAATTCGCAATTTAGATGGAGTTACAAAGAAAACTAATTGATTATACAGAAATGAACAACACAACAAACTGTAACAAACACATCACATGAAACACACCTCTTTTCCGATTCAGGGATTCTCACCAATTAAGCACATGGACATGGATCATCAGTCGCGGCATCAGCACCGCCGTCATCAGATCTGAAAACGGCGTAACCGACGGTTAACCCGACGACAATCGCGATGAACACGCCTCCGTTGAAAGACATAGCCGCAAGCATCAGCAAGTAACCGATCGCAGCGTTGACGCCGAAGAGAAGAATGGAGGCAGCTTTAGCGGCGGATCTGGTACCGGATTTGGGGATAAGAGGAGCGGAGACGCCGGAGGAAGAGCGAGGCGGCGGAGGATGACGGGTGGTGGAAAGGGATTTGAATTGGACGCGGCGGTTCTCGAGGTATTGGTAGAAAGCTGAGAAGACGAAGCAGGCGATCAGAGTGAGGATGTAACTGAGCCATGAGTCTGTTTTCCAGAAACTGAAGAGAATTGTGGCTTTGATACCCCAGTAGAAGGTCATGTGCATCATCTTTGCGACCTTGATTTTGAGCACCTTTCGATTTGATCGCTGTGATGAATGAGATAATTTGGTTTTGGTGACTTTGTTTCGAAGATACGTTTCTTTGTGGGCTCTTTCTTATAGTCCAGTGGGCTTACAATAAAACAGCACTAGGCTTTTACCGTTCAAAAGTCAAAGGTCATAGTGGTATTTAAGTAAATAACCGTGATTAAAGTGGGTATTTTTTAATACGAGTTCCCAAGACCAAGAGAGTGAGTTATGATGACGATTTACACATTTTAATGATCGATCCCTCGTCTTCCTCATCATCATCAAATCTAAATCCAACCCAGTACAGTAGTTTAAACCTGATTCTGGTAAAACCCCTGAATTAGCTTCTGACTCGAACCTTCGAAGTTTGTGTAAGGGAGAGTGAAAAGCTTCGAACTTTGAGGTGGTGGGAGCTATATAGTGTATAACCGATTGGTTGTGATTGTGAGCTGACTTACAAAGGTTTTCGAATTGTAATCATATAATCTCTTAATCTATATTTCAAGCATAGGTTATATAAATTCTGAATTAAGGTCTTTTTGGATCACCAGAGACAGAGGGACTATTGAGTACTGAGCAGATCCTGATACGATGAGGAAGCGTCATCCAAAGGCGTCAGATTTGTCAGAGCCATCTTCTAGTCAAGAGTCCGATGTTTCAGACAGCGATGCTCTCGATAAGGAGGTGCAGGCTGATGTTAAAAGATCGGGGAAAGTATGGTTTTCAGTGTTGATTTTGGTCATATACTTCTCTTGGGCTGTTTACAGTTACCAGCATGGTAATTTACCTAAACCCTTAACATCCAAACAAGCTGGCAAAAGGGGTTTCTCTGAAATTGAGGCAATGAAACATGTTAAGGCTTTGACTCAGTTTGGTCCTCATCCTGTTTCTTCTGATGCTCTTGTCCATGCCCTTGAGGTTTGTGTCTTTTGTTCGTTTATTTCTTTCCCTCCATAAGTTTTTCTTAGTTTTGGTGCACTTAGAGTTTGTTATTTGTTCATTCTTGCAGTATGTATTGGCAGAAGTTGAGAAAGTTAAAGAAACTGCTCATTGGGAGGTTGATGTGAATGTTGATCTCTTTGAATCTAAATTTGGTGTAAATCGTCTGGTTGGTGGTCTTTTTAAAGGGAAGTCACTTGTGTATTCAGATATAAGTCATATTGTACTAAGAATCTTGCCAAAATATGAATCAGACGCAGGGGACAATGCTATTCTTGTCTCTTCTCACATTGATACTGTCTTTACAACGTATGTTGCTTCATCTCTTACCCACTGGTTTTGGATTCTTGTTCCTATTTTCTTCACCATATTGAAGTAAGTGTCTGTATATCATGAAGAGGTGGGGCTGGAGATTGTAGTTCATGTGTAGCTGTAATGCTGGAACTAGCTCGATCTGTTTCCCAATCGGCTCATGGATTCAAGAATTCCATTATCTTCTTGTTCAATACTGGAGAGGAAGAAGGTCTAAATGGCGCTCATAGCTTTATAACTCAGGTAAATACGATACACTGACCTTATTAGCTTTGAGTTTGATGCATCTCACTCTCTAGCTTACTATGACTTGGTCGATTTAATACGATTATATCTCTTAGTTCCTGAACTTATGGTTTCTCTTTCACATTGCAAATTACTGATGTAGCATCCATGGAGTTCCACAATTCGTTTAGCTATTGATTTAGAAGCCATGGGTGCGGGTGGGAAGTCTAGTGTTTTTCAGGTATAATCTTATGCACTACCTCTCGTTCCTCACAATTGGTAATATAAATTATATATAACAATTTTTAAGAAGTACAATTTCTTTCGACATGTGAAGTTTCCCTTGTAAAATCAAAAGGAATTGATATGAAAACAAGTGACTGCATGTGTGAAGGGATTTGGTAAATTTTACCCAATTTTGGCTACTGTCCTGATTCCTTTTTCTGGGAGTTAAGTTGTTGAGTTTGACATAATCACTATTGCTTGTTCCTTGTACCTGAAAGAGGATTGGGTTATTGGTTTTCACATTTCTTCCCTTTATCTCCAAAAGTGAATCCCGAATTTGTGATTGTTAAAAATATCGTCCGGTATAGGCTGGCCCGAGTCCGTGGGCTGTTGAAAACTTTGCTCTGGCCGCGAAATACCCATCTGGTCAGATTATTGGACAGGTGTGTACTTTCACCTGATCCCCCCCCCCCCATTTACTGGTATATATGCATCTATATGTCACTGCTTTACTATGACAGGATCTGTTCACTTCTGGAGTCATAAAATCTGCGACCGATTTCCAAGTGTACAAGGAGGTTGCTGGTCTCTCAGGACTAGACTTTGCTTTTGCAGATAATACTGCTGTCTACCACACTAAGGTAGTTCCCTTTTTTGTTTACATGTTGTTCTTCTTGTTTTGATCCTGGTTTACATGTGTAATATGTTATTACTTGCGTTGCAGAATGATAAGATAGAACTAATAAAACCAGGATCACTCCAGCATCTTGGGGAAAATATGCTTGCTTTCCTCCTTCGGGTTGCTTCATCTTCTACTCTGCCAAAGGATAAAAGTCTCCAGAAAGAGGAGAAATCCGACCTGGACGCAGCGGTCTATTTTGATATTTTGGTAATTTCAGAACCAACTATTCTGTTGTTATTATTTGTTAAGATATGTGCTTACGTAGCTTTTCCTTTACCATGTCCTAATGTCTTTCCTTTATTCCTATGTCAACTTTTAGGGGAAGTATATGATTGTATACCGGCAAAGTTTCGCGACAATGCTATATGTTTCAGTGATCATGCAATCGATTCTTATATGGGTCATGTCTGTGTTCATGGGTGGTGTTCCTGCTGTTGTGTCGCTGATTTTGTCGTGTTTGAGTATTATCCTCTCATGGATATTTGCAGTAGCTTTTTCGGTAGCTATTGCATTCATATTGCCCTGGATTTCTTCAACACCTGTGCCGTATGCTTCAAACCCATGGATGGTAGTTGGATTGTTTGTGTCGCCTGCGGTTTTGGGGTCAATAAGTGGTCAGCATGTGGCCTTTATTTTTCTTCGGAAGAAATCATCAAACCGAAATTCGAATAAGATGCAGGTCTCACCAAGACTACGAGACAATCTGGCCAGGCTAGAGGCTGAAAGATGGCTGTTTAAAGCAGGTTTTATACAGTGGCTTGTTCTTCTGGCCTTCGGAACCTATTATAAACTTGGATCAACTTACCTTGCTTTGGTTTGGCTAGTTCCTCCAGCATTTGCATGTAAGCTAATCTTTGCCAGCTTTGTTTATATATAATGAAGGATGTTATTTCATTTCAGGCTAACTACATTCATTGAGAAAGTGTTTTCCTTTAAGGCTTTCCTAAGTTATACTTAATCAAACCTAATGGTTGTCCAGATGGATTGCTCGAGGCGACATTATCCCCAATCCGATTGCCAAAGCCCCTCAAACTTGCAACTCTCTTTATCAGCCTGGCAGTACCAATTTTGGTTTCATCTGGCAGTTTTATCCAGTTGACGGGCACGATGATTGGTATGCTCATTCGATTTGACAGGTAAACTGATAGGCACTACCACGTGAGATTCTTGAGACATGGTTGAACAATTAATCATAGTATTATTAGATCGGAAGGTAAACAGATGAGGAATCTTTTGTTGTATGGGTGTTTGGGAGCCTTAAAGAATATGGGAGCTAATAGGGACTCCAAAACAAACCGTAACAGATGTTGGTTTCCTTTAGTTATCGATTCACCTAAACTAGTTCTTCATGTTCTTCCTTTGAAAAATAAAGAGTGTTCACTTTCTGTTCCTTTCATAGACAGGGTAAAATTCTCTTGCCTAAACTTTAATAGTGAAATAAAATGTTCCCAGTATGTTGGAATACCATTGAAATAAATCCATTTAGCAGTAATTAGTCTTTAGTTTGCAGCTGCCCAATCTTAGTAAACATGGCGACTAAAGAAAAAAGTCAGAACACTGTTGCTGGAATTAGAATTAATGGTTCTGTGAATCTCTTTCCTTTTTAGCTTCAACAGACATTAAATTGTAGCTGTTGTTTTTTTATTTTTGGTGTGTAGTACACCAGGCGGCACTCCAGAATGGCTAGGTAGTGCATTGATCGCTGCTATTATTGCTACTTTCATAAGTCTGACTATGGTATACCTGCTGGCCTATATTCATCTCTCTGGTAATGTTCTACTTTGTTTTGGAACTTATCACAATAGTTACAACTTTTGGTTGATTAAGAATCATAATTATTGACAAACTTATGGTCTTCAGGTGCAAAAACGTCGCTTGTCACTGCATTATGCATTATCACTGCCCTCTCTCTTGCTCTTGTAGCTTCTGGTGTTTTTCCTGCATTTACTGAGGATACTGCCAGGGCAGTAAATGTAAATCCCTTTGATTCTTGTTTCAGTGGCAGTTCTTTAATTATTTTGTGTTGCTACTTTTTAAGCTATATAAACACTTCAGCCTTTTGATATATGGTTGTACACATGTAGGTTGTACATGTTGTGGATACTAGCGGGCAAGATCAAGTGGCTTACACATCGCTATTCTCAAACACTCCTGGAAACCTAAACAAGGAAGCAGAGCAGATCAAAGAAGGGTTCAAATGTGGCAGAGAGAATAAGATTGATTTTGTCAGTTTTGAAGCTCAGTATAGTTGTGTGACCAAGAAGGACGCCGAGATTGGATGGGACAAGCACAATATTCCAGTCCTTCGCGTCATAAACGACAAGGAGAGAGACGAGGGAAGAGTCACAGTGGTTTCAATGGACACAGGAGGCTCATCGCGCTGGACACTTCGTATTGACATGGAGAAAATAGAAGACTTCACAATGCAAGTAGGTGAGGATGAAGAGTTGATGATAGCACGAGGTGAGAAAAGCAGCAATGCAGAAGGATGGCATCAAATCCAATTCGCAGGTGGGAAAAAGGCGTCAACAAGCTTTGTTCTCAAGCTTTACAAAAAGAAGGAAGAAGTATCTGATGAGAAGAAGAAACAAAGACCTCTTTTGAAGCTCAGAACTGACTTCAACCGTCTCACTCCACAAGTCCAGAGGATTCTTGAAAGACTTCCTCCATATTGCTCATTGTTTGGAAAATCCACTTCACCTTTTACTCTCGCCTTTCTTGCTTCGCTTCCTTGCACCAAATAACAAGTCCCACTCACTTGGCTTTATGCTAACACATTTTCCAATAACTTTTTTTTGTTGACATCAAAAGCACGAGTTAAAGTCCCTAAAGAGTAAAGACCAAATATTTGAAACTCACAGTTCCATCCGATAATCATCCCTCAATTCCAGCAATTTTGGAGACCCTGCATAATGGCTTTGTTCTCCCCACTAGCATTTGAGTTACTACAACAGAAGGTCGCCTAATCCTTCAATTTGATCGTTACATACTTTTCTATAAAAAAAATCCAAGAAAATTATATTTGTATGGAACACACTCGGTAGGTACAAATCTTGGTGAAGATATTCGTGAAAGAGGCTCGAGATATTTTGAACCAAAGCAACAAAAAGTGACCAGAAAAAAAAAGACTTAAGAAAAAAATAAACAAAAAAACATGGATTGTCTTTATATTAAAGACAATTAAGAAACAAATAGAGAAGAAAAGGCCAAGTTAAGAGTGAAGACGACAAGTGGGCAACAAAGTGAAGAGCTAGGAAGGAGGAAGGACCCGTTATTACGCCACACAAATAGGAAAGTGATGTGAAAACATAACAAATGAACACTTGTGTGTCTCCTTATCATTCCAAAGCTGGACATATCCATCCGCATGTGCCATGCATTCATATACAGTAAGTTTACATATATACTTTTCAACTGGATCGATCTAACAGTCAACATATGCAAGGCTAATCTTGATGCAGTACAAATATTGCAAATACCATATGGTTGGTTAGTGGTCTACTGCTCTTTTCTCATCTGACTATGTGATCCTGTGACGTATATTTGTTTAATTTCTTTTGCGAGCTTGATAGCATATAGTGAGTTAGTAACACATCAACAACATAAATACAAATCACTAGACAACATGTGTAACGTAAATGATAGTTGTGGCAGCATATCTATATCGTTGAATATTTGATGACTTCAAGTTGCCTGATAATCTAGGTATATTAGTAGATTCCTCCATATAATTTAATTTAATTCACAAGTTGTTTCAGCTTAAAGCTCATCTACAAAACTAATAAGTTCCACATGTTTTAGAGCTCTACGAATACATTAGGGTATCCACATTGTACTAAGGTTTAATTTGGCTTTAATGGAGTTTCCATCCCATCGTTATTATAGTTTGTTCAATGAAAACAATGCATGTTTTTGGTTATTACAAAACAAAACACTTCGAATGGACCGACAATCTAATTTGAGGTTACACCATTTCAATCGGCTAGCTGAATCTTTGGTAGGTTGCATCAGTTTTAAAAATCTAATGACATAACTTATAAGTAAGTCGGATCAACTTTATTAGCCTTAAAAAACCAAAAACAAAAAAAGTCAGTTCAACTTGTCAAACTCATTCGGATCAAAATGGGACATATCATATATACCTATAGCTTCGACAGTTTAAGATATGTAATATCACAAAAAAAAAAAAAAACTCTAACCATGATTAAGCAAAAAAATCTTCAACAATACTGAATTTTTTTTTTTTTTTCGAACTGATGAGCTTTGCTCATTTTACAAACATTTTTATTGACCAACTTAACGAAGAAAGGCTGACGTCATAGGAAATTTCTAATCCTCGGATTCCAAACCTTTCTTCTCCTTCTAAAAATGTAATTAAATACAAATAATGATGCAAAATAATCTTAAACCAAAAAAACTAAAAACAAGATTATAATAATCACGTAGAGAGAGACGGGAAACAGCTCCCAGATCGGAGAAGCGCCCGTCGTGAGGCAACACCGTCAATCCCCGGCAAAGCACTGCTCGAGCTCGTCCTCGTGGTTGTTCTCCGTGGAGAACCGTCGAGACTCCGCCGCAAGATCCTACCAATGACAGAGATCGGATCTTCCTCCTCGTCGGGGCTCCAAGAACGGAAACGGTGGCAAAACGTCGTGTGGCGACGGAGAGCTTCCTCGACGGAGATACGAGTGGAAGATCGAACCACCTCGTCCTTAACGGCCTCAGCGCAAAGCCCACAAAGCCAGTGTCCCTTGTGACGTTCTTTAACACGGTGGATGTAAGCCGGTGTACACTCCTCAGCGAAACCGCACGTGTCGCACGTCACAGACTCCACCGCCGGCAACGAAGACGACGACGATAGCTTAGTGTTAGTATCGCTGGCTGATGATGATGATGATGACATGATTAGTTTGTGTAATAATTCTCTGTTATTATTACGAGAGTTCGTTCTCTCTGAGGCTTTAAGGTTAAATAATACACAGCACAGGTGGTCTTTATTGGTATGTATATTTATATATATGGTCATGGAGACATATGTCTCTTTTATTTTATTTTTTTGGTTGTAGAAAACTCAAAAAATTATTATGAATGATGTGTATGTGAAATAATGTGAGGGTGGAGGAGGATTTGGCTTCATGTGAGTGAGATAATGTGGCGAGAAACTTTTTGTTTGTATCTTCAAATTATGCATGTGGGTGTGGATGGATAATTATTGATTTTTGTTTTTAAGTTACTTGATGTATATTTATTCATTTTAATAATTAGGCAAATGATCTTGCGGTTAAATATATTCATTTTTCTTCCCACTTGAATTTTAATCTAAACTTTTGTATTGTATATATCGAACAATATATAATCTCGAATACTGATATACTTATTGCATATCTTTGTGAGACTAGTTAAGTCTCTATATATTCTTAATTAGAAGCTAACTACACTAACTTCCTTTTGTATTCGTATTGAGTTTTGTCGGTCTAGAAAGTGATCAGTCGTACCTAATGTGATTCCAATTTTCGTTACTAGTTTCAATATGAGTTTAGATCACGCCAGGATCATTCGAATATAGAAGAAAACTCCATATATATATATTGGCCATAACTTATAGTCTAGATTCAATCTCTCATATTGGCCATAACTTATAGTTTTAGTGAATGTAGGGTTTAGCTATGAAATAAATTACAAAAGTATATTAACGGAGGGAATTGGACCAGTTGGTCTTTAAATGATTTATGGCTGAAAGACAGAGACGGTAAAGAATATATTAAAAGAGAAGTCGTTATAATAAGAATGATCATAAGCAAATAGTGCAACTTGTTGTGGCAACAATTGATAATTTTTAAACTATAGTTAGAGAGTAGGTCTTCCTTGTGATGCGAAGAGGTCAGTAACTTTGTGATTTGAAGATCGTAGAATTGTTACTTTTGCTAATTGCTAATGAATTGACTTAATTCATCAGTGATGGTATATGATGGCAAGTACATTGATGGCTGTATATATATATATATATGTTGCTTGAAACCATAGACATAGAGAATGGTAAAATGTGGACCTGAAATTGAGGTTATCCATCAAATGATAGATGTGAATGTTAATGGATTAAAAAGAAAAAAAAAGAGTTGTGGTTACATGAAAAAATAGGTGGTCCATGTTTTTTTTTTTTGTTGGACATGGTTGAGAAAGGTACACAGTCTTTGAAGCAATACTCCATTGGTGGAGTATATATGTCTTTGGTTAAAATCCTATTGAAAGCAAACTAAGCAGATCCATATAAATTTTAACCCTAGTGAGGGTTATATGAGATTATTGTCCCAAAAGATCAGGATTATATATATGTGCATGTCTGTTGATGAAAATTTGATTGAATAACAGAAGATATTAGTAAATTTATGGTTAACTAGGTGAATATTCGTGCTACGCTGCAGTTTTTTCTCTATTAGTTTTTTAAAATGTTATGTTTAATGTAAAACTCAAATTTTATGAGAAACGATGGAAGCTTAAGTCTCCGACGACGCGTTTGTACAATCTTACGATGATGGCTAGCTAGTGTGATGAGAAGAATCCAGAATAACATTATGCATTTTGAAACAGTAAGCCATATAGACATATTGTACTAGTACTATATTACCATCACATGCTGGGACCAGATCATTGAACGAGTGATATGTGACAACTATATATATGATACATAATCGTACCAATATTTTCATAAGATTACATATTTTACATTGTTTTTTTTTTTTTGTTTTTGTGGAATTTAACTTTACCTAGAAATTGGAGGAACGTGCAACAGAGGTATTTAAAAAGTACTGCAGCTTTTTTCTGCTTCGAAAACGATATTATTTGTCCCTTACAAATCTCTCGATCGATGTCGTCTTCTATTCGTTCTCTTATTCTTATCTTCCTCGTAACTCATTTCTTCTCTTTTCACTGTAGTAACTGTTGTTGTTTCTTTTATCTGTTATTCTTCCTAACCATCTCTACTAGTTTATACCACGTCGTTATAAGAATCTATTAGATTACGACAATATAAGTATGATGTAAGCTAGCCCCAAATACAAAATCAAAGAACAAAAGATTTCATCATGATAAACGTTGTCCTCCAGTTTTGCTACGTTTGGCTGACTAGCTCTAGGAGAGAGTCTAACAAATTAAACCACTAGAAGCTTTTTCGACATTGAGTTTGAAGAGAAGTACCTAACAAGCTCGTGGCATCGTAGAATGGCATTATTGTAGTTGAGTATGATAGGTTTGTTATAGGTCGATTTTAACTATCTATATATTTTTGGGGGTGAGATCAGATATTATTTTTTTCGGTGAGATTTGATAACATTCTATATAGTATGTAACTTTTTCATATATGTTTGAAAGTGAACAAGTTTGCCGATTCTACAAAAAAGAAGAAGACATATATTGAGAAACAAAGAAAAAAACAAGAAAATATATTAGAGAATGTATCTAACCTGATGTTGAAGCAAATCATGAGCTTCTTGAAGAAAACTGAAACTGGGATAATTAAGTAGAGCCGAGCCGAACCGCCATACTTAAGTATATATGTGATTGCCTGATTAATTAAGGAGTTGTGTTTAGTGCGGTGATTGCTTAACTAAAATGTTTTATTTGGACTAACTTTTTCAGACTTTGTGTAAAACAATAAATGAATTTTAGGGTCTACAATTAAGGGTTGAATTTTGTTTAGGAAGAAAACTAAAGTTTTGGGATTTCATATTAGGATTTGTTTTGTTATAAGAGAGACAAAATACACTTTCATATAAAATTTGTAATATACCGGTAATTAACAATGAAAGAAAAGATAAAATAGTACTATTTAATAACAATTTATACTTTGCTTCATTAATTGTTATTTTACTTTTTGCTATATCACCAAACTGAAGCAAGGAAAAGGGAAAACCAGTTGATTTGATGTCTAATCAAAGAATCATAGTTAATTACGTTTTAGAATCGTTTTCTTAAACAAGTTAAAGACGAGAACCAATAATGAATAGTTGCGTTTTCGAATCGTTTTCTTAAAGAAGCAACATGTTCTTTGTCTCTATCGCTCTCTCGTATGTTTGTTTCTCTATGTATGTTGGTACAACGAATACAAAATAATTGAGCTGTACGATTTTCAATTTTTAGTTTACAAACAGAGTTTGATTGATGATAACCATGTACTATACATACTGCTTTTGATAATTACTAATCATCAAAACGTTACTATATATTAACGATATACCGTTTTCAACCACAGTATATATTGTGTATGCTTACTTTATTTTTAATCTGTTAAAACAAAATTATGACGTTTCGTATTATCAATCATATCAATCAAATGACTATGATCCATCAATACAAACATATGTACTATATTAAAATGAATTATGTGGTACCAAAACCAACTTAAACAGCTGGCGTGGGTTTTGTCTTCAACAGGGAATGATAGCTGAACTCTTTAGTCTTCTTCATGTTTTTTTTATAAGAATACTCACTTATTACTTTTTTTCTTTCTTTTTAATAAACTTAATTTTCTTCTAATCTCGACCGTTAAACACAGATTTTATCCATGTAAAACTAATTCTTTCTTCTTTTTTTTATTGGCACCATATGATTTCCAGATCATCCAAGACTGTATCAACAAGATTCTGAAGTGAGCAAGAGATCATTCTCAGTAAAGAATCAGCAAGTTCATATTCTAATAAATCAATCGAATAGTTCGACTTGGTCATCTTCACAATGCGATTTACGTAGTACTAGATTTGCTACATAAAAGAAATATAAGTATGTACACTAGCAAACTTGATCACACTTGAATATTAACAATTCCTTCTTACTTAACAAAAACAAACCAAATATGCTATACTATATGATATCAAAGAGAGCAAAATGCTTTTCAGTATCTTATATCGATGGATCGATGGTTATGATTAGTAATTCCGTACTACTACTTTAATATATGAGATTACATGTACTGTTTTATTTTAATGAATCATAAAAATGAGAATCATAAAAATGATACCAAAGTGACAAAAAAAAAAAAAGACATTCTCAACATGTTTGTATTCTCCTTCTAAAAACATTTTTAATGGCTACTTTATATCCCGCTTTAAATATTTACGTACCGCTCTAACTATGTTTTCTACCCACTAAAAACATTTTTACTCTTTTGTATTTACCCAATTGTGCTAATCAAAACTTTGCTACTCCATAGTTCAAGACTTCAAGTGATATGGGAAAAGAAGATTTATGGGATTTGTGCTTTTGGTGTTTTTAGGAGCATTCATATAGTTGATGTAATATTCAGTATTTTGATGATTTTATATTTTTATAAATGAGCTTGAATGAATCATTTTAAAATTTTCTACTGGATATTTTGATCTGGGCCTGATGGGCTATTTTGAGTGGTGGTTTTCACTTTCATTTTAAAAATGAATGAAATTATTTTTCAATTAAAAATGTATCAAACATTTAGCCCAATTCACGAGGCTTTTGATTATGTGTGTAGTATTAAAGGCTCTAATAGGCTGCAGAGATATGGGAGGCAACGGCAAAAAAACATCTACAAGTCGAACTACTCATTTGGTAAACTTTACTCTCCACTGTTAGCGGGTAATGGCCAACCCGACTTGACAGCTTTATGACAAGGTATTTGTTTCAAACTGCGATATATACAATTTGGAGGGAAAGGACGGCAAGGAGAACCTCCTAATACCGCTGCTCATCTCATTAACTTCATCAGCAAACAAATGCGAGATCATCTCTCGTCCATTAAGCTTCTGGATGATAGGCGATACGACAAAGAAATGAAACTTTGGTTCACCTTTCGAAACTAGTCTCTAAATCTTAGGGTTTTCACAATTTAAATGTTTTGATCTCCCTGTTGCACGACTTGTAAAAACGATTTTTTTTTTTAATATAATTTTACATTATTAAAAAAAAAAAAACTAAAAAAATTTCAACCAAGTAAATAACAAAGTGTCTTAATATAAAGTAGCTATTAACCAACTCTTAGCGTAAGATACAAACAACTTAATTTACTCTTTCCTTGGCTAGAATCCTCACCAGTCTCAACCGTAGGGGGGGGGGAGGCAATGTTGCTGCTCACATCACATCACATGTTCTCTCTACTCACTCACTATGCTAAAATGTCTTCAGAATACCGTATATTGTTTTATCTTTTATTTTTTAAGTGATCTTTATTAAATTTCCAAGTTCTACTAACGATTCTTCTAAAAATGAATTAACGATCCAAGTTCAATCCTAGTTTACAAAACAAAATTAGGACTAGTCGTTTAAAAAATTAACATTTCACGGCCGACAAGTGACTTTTTCGGGGTCAAATTATTCGAAGCCTTTCTTAATTTTCTCCTCTCTCTCTCTCTCTCTCTCTCTCTCTCCCTAATTAATTTGAATTTGATTTTGATTTTTTTTGATATCTCCAAAGCACGCTTCTCTTCTCCGTACGGCGTCTCCGGTGCATCGGATTTCATCATCGCCGACATCTACGGACCCTTAAATTACATAAAGAAAAAAGAATCCTTCGCCTTCGATTCACTTCCTTCCCTCAAAATTCTTTCCTCTCGAATTTGATTGACGAGGAGATATTTGTTATCTTTGATCTGTTTATTCTCAGATTCAAAGGTATTTTTCATATTTCGCTTTCCACCGTTTCGATCTGACCTACTTATTATTACTAGTTGTCGGATTTTAGGAAAAATGTGAATTGAGCCTTTCCTTAATCACTACTATTTGAGGAAATGGTTTTTAGTTTGCGTTCAGATTTGGATTTAGGGTTGGGATTAGGATCGAGATTAAAAAATTTCCGCTTCTGCAATATTGCCTCGCTTTTCTATAACTTTGATTTTGATGATTATAGTGAAACTATTCGATTTCGAGTAATGCGTGTTTTCTATAACTTTGTTTCTTTCTTACTAGTTTTAGTTATAATGGAACAGTGTTTTGGTTGGTGGAGATGTTAATTTTGCTAATTGTGTGACTAATTGCCCATCTACTTAAAAATGACAACTTTTATGTATATATCTGTCTCTAAAAATGCACTTTTTTTTGGGTCTATATCCATGTTTCTCTCATAGGGAAAGATCTGGGGTTGGTGCCTCTTGTGATGGGCTAAGTGTTTTTAGGTTTTTTATGTTTGTCGGATTAGGATCCTTTTTTTATATATATTTTTCCGTGCTAAACACCAATAATCTTATTGATTAGGCAAGGGATCTACTCCTAAATGTGTTGTTGATCAACTAGTTGTTCTGAAAGGATCACACTGAACCTCGAGGTAGCTGGACATATGGCTTGAATGATCTAAGTATGAACGAAAGTTTCTCTGGAACGCCAAGAAGCATGTCCTTCCATAGAAATAGGTAGAAATATCTCCTAGTTGATTGATTGCAACTAAGCAGTCTAAGCTTATACGACAGGCATTTTGTTGGGTGATGTGATCTTCTCTGTGTTTAAGAGACTCGAAGGCTGCCCTTTTTAGTTTTCATCATCTTTCTTGTATTCCGTTCAGTAATGTATTATTCAGTGTGACAGAATGAAATCTTACTGCTAATTTATTGGAATTTTTCTAGGATGAAAAGAGGAGCCCTTAGGCGAAGGGCTAGGGATATCTCGGTTATGCTTGTTGTGCTTGTTTCTGCAACCGTAGTCATATGGACATGGAATAGAACTCCTACCTCAGCCTATCTTCCACCTGAAAGTCACTATTTAAAGCTGCAAACAGGTTTGACTATGACACGAAGCTCTCATTCTGAAAGTATTTTGTTAGGCCGTTTGAATGCTGGAACATTAGTATAGTTTAATGTTTCATTTGATGCTGCAGTACTGCTAGACTGTGAAATTCGTTACTTCTAGTCTCCCCTGTTTATGTTTCGTAGGTCTAGAATATTTTTTTTTCTCAAAAGTATCAATATTTTTCTTTTCACTTGTTCTTCCTCCTGTTTATGCTTCGTAGGTTACTGTAGATGTTCTTGAAGCCGATAGTACAACTAGATCCTGGGTATATATGACCTAGTTCTTTGTCATTTTGCAGAAGAAAAGGTTGATAGAATACCTACTGTGCTGAATACTGAAACTAAAGATAGCTACTCATCAGCTACTCCATTTGTAAACAAAGGTAAATGTTCAATGCATTTACCAAAGCTCTTTCATGCATCTTGTAATCTCCTCAAATGTTTTTTGAAGGGGTTTGATCCCTTTTGCTGTATTCTAAATTTGGGGAAACTAAGCTAGGCATAAAAACTTTCCGGTTCCTGGCCTTTCTATGACAGATGACAGCAAAGAGGATTCGACCGATAATAAAGATACAGACGAAGAAGAGAAACAAGTAGAAGAAGTTACTGTAAGTGATACGAACAAAGGGAGGACACCAATTATAGAAGAGAAAAAGGTAGAACAAGTGGAACGTGAAGTTATTGTAAGTGAACCAAAAAATCAGAAGACACCAACTAGTGAAGAAAATAAATTAGAACAGGCGAAACATGAGGTTGCTGTTGGTGAAGGCGAAGCTAAGAAGACGATACATATTAAAGAGACTGTTTCAGATCCACAGAGTAATATCCTTGCAACAGACAAAGAGAGGACTGATGGTAGTACTTCCACAGCTCGCATGGCGAATCCAGGTAAAAATCATATTCTATAGATCCCAGTTTTATGATGCGTGAATGTATTCTTAGGAGTAGATTATTCTGAGACTGGACATGAATAGTCTATTTGCATCTCGATGAAACTATTAGTCTTAAGTCTCCACACCGTGTTGATGTTTTCTCAGCATGATTTCCTCCTATGTGGAATAATAGGTTGTTTTATATTAATTTTCCCTACCAGCTTGCAATTACGCGAAAGGGAAATGGGTTGTGGACAATCACCGTCCTTTGTATTCGGGATCTCAATGCAAACAGTGGCTTGCTTCTATGTGGGCTTGCAGGTTGATGCAACGTACAGACTTTGCCTTTGAAAGGTTAAGGTGGCAACCTAAAGATTGCTCTATGGAAGAATTTGAGGGTTCCAAATTCTTGAGAAGGTAAACTTTGTACGTTTGTTAAATCAAATGTATCCATATATGTTGCCAAGTGTTTGCATCAAGTTCGTAGTAACAGTAAATAAATTGCTCATTTTTTCAAATGCCCTCAGGATGAAGAACAAAACCCTAGCCTTTGTTGGAGACTCGTTGGGAAGACAACAGTTTCAGTCCATGATGTGTATGATCACGGGAGGCAAAGAGAGGCCTGACGTCCTTGACGTGGGACCAGAATTTGGGTTCATAACTCCCGAAGGTGGAGCTCGTCCTGGTGGCTGGGCTTACAGATTCCCAGAAACAAACACAACGGTCCTATATCACTGGTCATCTACACTCTGCGACATAGAACCGCTCAACATAACTGACCCCGCAACTGAACACGCTATGCATCTCGATCGCCCACCAGCGTTTTTACGCCAATACCTTCATAAGATTGATGTGTTGGTAATGAACACAGGTCACCACTGGAACCGAGGGAAGCTCAACGGTAACAGATGGGTGATGCATGTTAATGGCGTTCCCAACACTAACAAGAAGCTAGCCGCTCTTGGGAATGCCAAGAATTTCACAATCCACAGTACTGTTAGTTGGGTTAACTCGCAGCTCCCTCTCCATCCCGGTCTTAAGGCCTTTTACAGAAGCCTTTCGCCCAGACATTTTGTGGGCGGGGAATGGAACACCGGAGGAAGTTGCAATAACACAAACCCAATGTCTATAGGGAAAGAAGTTTTGCAAGAAGAGTCGAGTGATTACAGCGCTGGTCGCTCAGTGAAAGGTACAGGGGTTAAGCTTTTGGACATAACAGCCTTATCTAATATTAGAGACGAAGGTCACATATCACGGTTCAGTATCTCGGCTTCACGGGGAGTTCAGGATTGCCTCCATTGGTGCTTGCCCGGTGTTCCTGATACGTGGAATGAAATCCTTTTTGCGATGATCTAAGTTTTCAAGTTACAGCTGTTGCATCAATCAGGAGAAAAGTTCAGAGAAAGGGCTTGAGCCAAATCAAAGCTTTAGCCTTTTGATAGCTTTCTACAACACACATTGTAGTTTTAGCGGCTTGAGGTGTAACTTAGTAAATTTATTATGGTACAAAAGCAAAGCTCTGGCTATTATAGACGTATTTGTCTTATGCGTTTGCAAACGCTAACTATACCGGGGTTTTGGTTCCGACCATATTTACGGAACAGATCCTAACTCCTTAACATTGTCTTGAAGTCAATTAAAAGAAATTATAGAGTTAATTTTGAATTATTTATGTAGTATCTGAATGTTCGAGTTTGGTGGATTCTGCTTAAGCACTTGTAAGCATGATTTTGATGCTGCATGGAGGTACGAAACGATTGGTACCTATTCTGATCCGTCCGAATTTTAAGAAACCAAATTTAGTAATAGCAACTGGGCATGTCAATGATGAGACATGCATATGCTGAAAAGGATATAGATGCAAATGTATTAGCTTAAACTTCAGATCCTTATCAAAAAATTCTCTAAGCTCTCAAAAACAAACAAATAGGTTTATATAAAATCTATAACAAAAAAGAAGAAGCTATTTTTGGCTTTAAAAAAGTCTAAACTTTGACAACTAATTCAATCAAAAAACAAAGAAAAAAATGTCACCCTTGCCTTCTCAACCCTCAGAAACAAACAATGTCCAAACTTTGGAACAACAAACACAATCTAAACAAAACTACACCTCTCAACAAATCATACATCATTATCAAAAAAAAACATCGTCCTTGTTTTTAAGACATACCATATTAACAAGAATAAGAAGAACAGCATCTCTTCTCCTAAATCCATGGCTGCTGTTCTCAATCCCGGTTTCAACATCCTCCTCCTCTTCCTCTTCTGTTTCTCAATCACCCCTTCGTTGCAGCACGTAAGCGAGTCAGAACCGCTTGTGCGGTTCAAGAACTCGGTGAAAATAACCAAAGGGGACCTAAATTCATGGAGAATAGGAACAGATCCTTGCAGTGGGAAATGGTTCGGGATCTATTGCCAAAAGGGTCTAACAGTCTCAGGCATTCACGTGACACGGCTTGGTCTCTCGGGAAGCATCACCGTAGATGATTTAAAGGATCTCCCAAATCTAAAGACAATCAGGCTTGACAACAACTTCCTCTCGGGTCCTCTCCCGCATTTCTTCAAACTCCGCGGCCTCAAGTCCCTCATGCTCTCTAACAACAGCTTCTCCGGCGTGATCCCTGACGACTTCTTCAAGGACATGACAAAGCTCAAGCGGCTATTTCTTGACCATAACTTATTAACGGGAAATATCCCTTCCTCCATTATGCAGCTCCCTCAACTCGAGGAGCTTCACCTTCAAGGTAATAATTTTACCGGGGAGATACCTCCAGAGATTGGCAGCATGAAGAGCCTTAAAACCCTCGACCTCTCAACCAACGATCTCCAAGGAAGTGTCCCGGAAACCCTTGAGAATAGGAAAAATCTTGCTGCCAATTTATCAGAGAACGCTGGCTTGTGCGGGAAGATGTTAGACATTGAATGTGAAATTATTAGCCTAGGAGATGAAGAACGAACTCCCACGCCACCACGAGCTGCAGTATCAGATAAATCCAACAGTGCCATGGTACACGCGATCATGGTTGCCATCTCGCTTGTTCTCATGTTCTTTATTATTGTAGGCCTTATCAAGAAGCGAAACAAGAAGAAGAACCCCGACTTTCGAATGCTCGACAAACAACGTCTGAGCGACAACGATGTTGTGGAAGTCAGGGTACGCGAATCCGTATCCACCACCGCTAAAAGGTCTACGGAATCGAGCAGGAAGCGTGGTGGAAACGCGGATGGCGGTTCCACCAAGAAAGGATCCTCTCAAAATGGGAAAGGCGGTAACGGAGGAGGAGGAGGGGGAGGCCTTGGCGGTGGGATGGGTGACATTATAATGGTGAATAGCGAAAAGGGTTCTTTCGGTTTACCGGATTTAATGAAGGCTGCAGCCGAGGTGCTTGGCAATGGTAGCCTTGGATCAGCTTACAAGGCAGTGATGACCAATGGACTATCCGTTGTGGTAAAGAGGATTAGGGATATGAATCAACTTGCACGTGAACCTTTCGATGTTGAGATGAGAAGATTCGGGAAACTCCGCCACCCTAACATTCTTACCCCTTTAGCCTATCACTACCGTCGCGAAGAGAAGCTTGTCGTCTCTGAATACATGCCTAAAAGCAGCTTGCTTTACGTTTTACACGGTAACCCCCAATGCTTCTTCTTCTTTTTTTCTTTTGTTTTTTTTGGTTGTCAGGATAAATTAAATCTTGATTCCAAGAAATCTCAAAAGCAGGGTTACTTGCCATTTAACAGATCAACATGAAATCAGAATTGATGAAACCTTCAACTACTAAGGCTAAATGATGAATCTTTTGTATATTTGTTTCTCAACAGGTGATCGAGGGATATACCATTCCGAGCTAACTTGGCCGACAAGATTGAAGATCATTCAAGGAATTGCGCACGGAATGAAGTTCTTGCACGAGGAGTTTGCGTCTTACGATCTTCCACACGGTAACCTCAAATCCAGCAACGTTCTCCTCAGTGAGACCTACGAGCCTTTGATCAGTGATTACGCATTCTTACCGCTTCTCCAGCCAAACAACGCCTCGCAGGCATTGTTCGCTTTCAAGACTCCCGAGTTTGTGCAGACCCAACAGGTCTCTCATAAATCAGACGTCTACTGCCTCGGGATTATAATTCTAGAGATCTTGACAGGGAAGTTCCCTTCTCAATACTTAAACAACGGTAAAGGCGGTACCGATATAGTTCAATGGGTACAATCTTCAGTCGAAGAGCAAAAAGAAGAAGAACTTATCGATCCGGAGATCCTAAACAATACTGAATCGGTGCGACAGATGGTGGAATTGTTGCGGGTTGGGGCTGCTTGTATTGCAAGTAATCCGGACGAGAGATTAGACATGAGGGAAGCTGTTAGAAGGATAGAACAAGTAAACACTTGATGAGATGTTTAGACCGCATGCAATCAAACTCTATAAGGAAGAAAGAAACCTTCTGAATCTGTAGATATAACACTAACCATGCACGAAGCGAAGTGTGAAACGAGGATGAAAAAATTGGGTACGTAAATAGGAAAAAAAAAGGTTTTATTTCGTCGGAGGGTTTCTATTTTCCTTTTGTGGTTGCAGTGATCTATATTTGGAAAGAAATTTAAAAATATACTTTTTTCTGCTCCTTGTTCCATAAGAAAACCACAATGATTCTTAGAAAGTTAGATTTTTTTTTTTTTTTTCCTCTTATTTAACATCAACATTTTTTATGCCAAACATGATAAAAAATATATATATTGGGAAATTTAGAAAAAAAAAAAAAAAAGGTTTTTTTCGAAAAAACCTAACCATCTTGCTATTTTAGAAAAGTCCATTCATCTCATAGTCATTGGTCTTGTGGCCAAATGTTCTTAATAGAAAACTATGTTTCCTTATAACTAATTGATTAGATATCTCCTTTTCCACGCAAAACTAGAATGTCCCAATTTGTTACAAAGAAAAAGATGAATGTGCAGACATATCAGCAAGGAAGACATCTTATGAAAGAGTACTTATGCAATATTATTTGGTTTAATTATTTCCATGTATATATAATCTGTTGAACGTGATGACTATATCATTTTGAATATTGGTAATTCTTGGAAAGTAAAGTTCTAAACTTATACTTGTACGGTTGTGCCAATAAGTGTACAGTGTACTCATTCACATACAGATGTACCTGTAGTGTAAACTCCATAAACCACATTTGGACGATACACTAATTATGTTAGTCAATAAACCAAAAATAGATTCTCTAATTCTTTTTTTATCTTTCTTGACGATGATTTCGTTTTTTGAAATGATCAAGAGTTGACTCTTTCTTTTTAAAATTATTTCTTTTTTTACGACATTATACTTTAAGCCATTTCTGTGAGAATAACAGCTTAACCACAACAACTTTAAGTAATTTCTTCATATTAAGTTACATTTGAATATTAAAATCTAGAATGGATAACAATTACCAATATTCTTATCCCAAATATCGTAATTCCCTATCAAAATCAAGTATATAGAAATCTCCGAAGACGACTCGATCGGTAAAAAAAGGATATATCCATATAACCTCTTATAACCTCTTAAGATCCTCCTTGTAAATAAGGTTGGGCCAAAAGATTAAAAAAAACTGATTTCCAAAGTTTGAGTGAAGTGGCATCGGATAAACAAATTTCCTCTGGCCATCTTCTCTCTGCAGTCTCCTCCAATATCTAACAGTAAAAACAATTGATCTTTTCCCTCAGCAACCCTTGTTTCCACAATACTTCATCTGACCAGGATCTTCCTAATCACGGGTTTGTTACCTTTATTTTTGTATTTTTCTAAACTCTAAGAAACTATGATAGCGCCTTGTTGCCATTATCGATCGTATCACACCTAAGGGTTACATCACTCTCTTGGTTGCTTGTATTGTGTCACATGTTTATTTGTGCGCTTGATCATATGAAAGCATCGTACCATGTTATATAGTGGTTCAGTTTTTGTTCTAAGTGGAACGATCAATGTCTTTGTTTCACGTTTAGGCCGTATAAAAATATGAGAGGGGAGGGTCAGAGAGCTTAAGTGACAATGATTTACGAGAGGAAAGTGTACGTCTTCAGTGATCTCGCAGCTGATAAAGCTGAACATATCTTACGCTTGGCAAAAGATGATGGAGCTTCCTTCACCACAAATCTACAATCAGATTAATCACCGTATGGCTCCTACTCCTACTAACCCTAACCAACGGAACCGATCCGTCTTAGTCCCGAAAACATATTAAAAGTTAACCGTAAATGTGTTGTTTTGTGATTTACAATTTTTCAAAACTCTAAACCAATAGTATTCATTTAGAAAAATTACATAATTAACTCTAGTTTTATTTTTAGTTGATTACATGATATATATATATATATATATATATATATATATATATATATATATATATATATATATATATATATATATATATAGTATTCGTTTTTATTTTATCTTTACTGTAATCCGTTGCTCTTTCTGTCATAGTTTCTAAACAAAGCAGACACTGCACATGTATATAGAAATCACTCGTTTCACGAAGAAACTATTATTTAGATCGTAAAGTATACTCTCATCTGTCTCAACGACAATTTATGTGCCGACTCACAAAGAGTATAGTGACAAGTGGCAAATCACGTAGAGTAGTGATTAATTATCAGAACTATCGGATTAAGCATTGTTTTAACTCAGAATATCAAATCTTGTACGTGGTAATTATTTTCTAAATTTTAAGACCAAAAAATAGAAAATGATCACATGCATGTCACTGCGCGCGATGTCTTCTATGCTTGTACATTTCTGAAAATTTTCATATTCCCTATAAATTTTAACCATCAAAAACTAAAACACAAGCAAAGCAATCCATATACATATGAAATCAGATTTTTTTTTTTAAAAGAGCAAACATATTATTAATGGACCCAAAAGCTTTGAATATTGGGTAGGAGACTCGATTCGGATACGAACAAAAGACATATTAAATTTAATTTTATTTTGCATGCAAGTCATTTTCTAACGAAAGGACCACAAAGAAATTAGGTTTTGTCTTCTTCTCCCATATTTTATGAATTATGTAATAAACAATAAAATTAAAGAGTTTTATGGTAGGACCTATAACCACTCAGCAATGATGTCCCTCTTTTGGGCTTATTCTCAGTGCTGGCTTCTTCCGTATGGGTCAATCTTTATTTTTTTTTCTTTTCTTTTTTATAGTTTTCGTATCATTTTCACAAGTTGTGAGATTGATGAATATAATAAAGTAAGCCACACACAACCCAACACGGCAACAACCATTTTTTTATGCTTCTTTTTTATATACATCATATATAATTATGCTTCAAACTATACGTATATTAGTTATTCGCATTTTCTTTATTACAATTTTCACCCTAATATTCGCCTCTTCAATTATTTGATATGATGCTTTGCTTGTAGCAGTTTTTATATATTCACCTCTCAAAACATCCATATACTGTATATATATATATATATATATAAGAATCGGACACAAGAAAAAGATTTTAAAAACTTCAAAATTATTTTCACATATATGTTAATTATCACAAAATACAGAAAACAAAACAAAGAAACACAAAAAAAGAGCATTATTCCATTTCTCGCCATGTTTAACGATCAAGAATTTAGCTCTGATCTCTACATTTTCATTCCCCCCCCCCCCTCATCAAAATTTCTCGATGTTGTTTCGTTTCCACCATATACTTTATATATAATATGGACATACATGTCATATATATATATGCTAATTTATTTCTCTTGCAGATTATTTTATAATGTCTAATTATTTTTTATATACCCCTGATACCCCCCATATAAGTAAAACTCAGTAGAAGAAACTCCGACGACGACTAAGTCACTAGGACTCCGGTGGAGAAAATTTGGCCGGCGGTGTAAGGAGAGGTTGAGAAGTTTGATCTACATCTCTCTTTCCTCTCATCATTTGCTATATGATTCGATCGACACTCTGTGCTGCAAAAGGCTTTTTCTCCTCTGCGTTTTAAAAGAGTATTCAATCAATACGAGATCGAGTGATATATACGCAGGACCATATAGTTAATATATAAAAAAAGGACTTATATATACCTGTAAATGAATATGTCTTGACCATGAAGTTTCTTCCTGCACAAGTAACATGAGTTGAGGAAACCCAAACCCTGAAACTCCGGCGAGTTCTCTGGAGATTCCATACCGACATCGACCACGAAAAGTCTTTCACGACGATCCTCGTTGATCTTACTTGAGAAAGTACACTCTAACCCATCTTTGTCATAAACCCTTGTACTACAAGATCCATTTGGCCCATGGTGGCAAGTCACCAACGTGTAGTCCTCCTCGTCCATTATGAACATCTCCTCGTCCTCTCCGTCCGTGCTTCCTCCATGGTTCATGAACTGGACCGGATCAGACCGGCCGGATTGGTTCTGTTCCGATCTGCATACGCTCGTGATTCTACGAGTGTTTGAGTTCTCGAGTGCGGCCACAATCCCTAGACCAACGGAGCCACCAAGACTGTCTTCGTAGAATCTTTTCGAGCTGTTTCTTTGAGATATCTGAGGGAGAATCTTGAAATCTAGAGGGCTTCTAGGGCTCGTCATCAAGACGTCAAAGAAAGGAGCCGCAGCAGATCGGTTAGCACCGACTAGGAGCTCCGATATCTTTCCGATCATTGGATGGGTTCTTTTGGTAAGCATGATCTTCAGAGAGATATGATCAAACTAAACCGAAAAAATCAAAAACAAAAAAAGAAGAAGCATAAGAGGAGAGAAGAAGAAGAAGCTTGGTGGTGTTAGCGAAACCTCCACAAGTAAGAGATGGGAGAGAGATGATGTTATTTATGGTGGAGTTGGTGGGAGGGTTGAGAAACTTTAGCTAGCTAGCTTTTATTTATTGCAATAATTCACGTGAACTATTCTTATTCCCCGAATCAAACCCTTACTGTTTATCTTCTAAACAAAACTAACCATATACATATCTAATGACGTGTGAAGCTAATCAGAATCGAAATCTTTTGGATTTTATCTTTTCTAAATGAACGTCTAGCGAGAGAGAGAATTAAATAACTCACCAGGTTATACATAAACACAGAAGATTTATAAATTATTAAAACTTTGTCTAATCAGTGTATTCTAGATCTACTTAATTTTTATATGTTAATTATACTTATGTACATGAGTAAGTCATCAATTATCGTTATGAAGATAGTCAAAATACTAATTCAAACGTTGACGCAATTATAATTTGGCACTTCATAATTAAATAAATTAATAGTGTGACACGGTGTTAATCTGTAAGTACATTATATTATTCTAGTTTTTTTTAAAAACATTATTCTAAGTAAATGAGCACTCAATTTCTTATATCAATATACAAGCTTATGTGCTCAC